TCTGTCCAAGACTTAAATATGCATTTGTTGAACTTCGGCAAGAAATTCTTATACCTTTTATCACCATAGAAAGATTTTCAGGTATCCTATCAAGTACGTGCCAAAGAGAAAAGCAATGGCGTGCATTTGGGAAGACTTCTTCAGCTGATGCCTTCAAGGCTTTGTCTTGATCTGTGATTATGACTTTAGGAGCTTGCCCACCCATTGCTCTAGTCCATGTCTTCATCAACCAAACAAATGTTGGTTTGGTCTCATCAGCAACCAATGCACATCCAAGCAATATGGGCTGAAAGTGATGGTTCACTCCAACAAAAGGAGCAAATGGAAACTTATCATTGCTTTTGATGTAAGAAGTATCAAACGAAACTACATCATTAAAACTGACATAATCACTCCTACTTTTTGCATCAACCCAAAACAAATTTCTCAAGCGTGTTCTTCATTCAAATCAATAGCATAAAAGAAGTTAGGATTCTCCTTTTGAATGTGCTTAAAATACTCAAGAATAACACGAGCATCTCCCTCGTCCAAAGCCAGATGTTGGCCTCTTTCAAACTGATAATTTACATCACTGAGATGAGACCCAAAGTTATGGCAGCCACTAGATTGCTTAGACATTTCAACGTACATCTTTCTGGTACGTTCACTAACAGCATGCAATATATCAATGTTATTCTTTTCAGCTAACTTCACATTTCTATGAATCCGAAAATGATATGCCAAAGCTGGTAGAAGTTCATGATTATGCTCCTTTATGAATTCATGAATTATCCACTTTCCATCTGCCCTTCTCTTCACATGCATGCAGGCTTTGCAATCTGTCTTCTTTACACTTGGCCTTCGACTGCTCCCACTATCTGACTCGGGAGTAAATCCATATCTAGAGCATGCGAATTTGGCATCAATAAATTCTTTGGTTTTCTTTGAACGCCTGCTGTTTTTTATTGAAGTGGTGAATCCCATAGATTTGGCATATTCTTGATAAAATGAATAAGCTGCTTCATGAGAATCAAATTCAATGCCCTTGTGTGGCTCAAAATCTCTGTCCCCTTCATACAACAGAACATCCTTTTAGGGTTAACAACAAGATCACCACCTGTGTGATGCACTTCATGCAAAGCATCAACCATATTTTACTCATTGCATCAGCAGACACACTGCTCTGGCCTGTTATTAATATTTCAACAAAATAACATCTTATCAGTACAATGATGAGATCTAGTCATAAAAAATCATAACCTACAATGACTCCGGAGAAAAAGGTAAAGAAATAATGTACACTTGACGCTAGTATGCTACACATAAAATAAGGATGTTTCGTTATAATTGTGATAAATTTAACAACAAATCATGGCATAAGCTTCCGAAAGCAAGATCTCTATCAAAAAAAAAAAGAAAAAAGAAAAAAAAAGGCTTCCGGAAGCAAGATTGATAAATAACAATACAGTGTAGTGGTTCTAGCTTGGCTAAAACATGAAGTTCCTTGATCATTTTGTACCATGTTTTCAAATAAAAACATAACAGTATGCCCTTGATGTTGTCCATCATCTTTGTCCATTAAGTTTTTTGAAACTTTTCAAACTAAATGCCATTTAAGAACAACCAATCAAAAAGACAAACCACTATTACCGGCAATCCAAAGAACTCCATGATCTTATTGATCAATCCACAATTACCTTTCAAGTTTCAATCAAGCATACATCTCTTTTCTCTTTTCAAATCACATTTCACCCCTGATAATGTGTCTTGGTTCTCACTTGTCAACTCTTATCTACAGTTAAATTGAGTTCTAAGCTTTTATATTAGCTGCAATTAGGCACCTCCACCAATTGGTCATTAGTCTTGTTCTTGAAATCAATACATGAGATCATGGCATCAAATATTTGTTTCTTTTCCATAAATTCCAGACCACTACGTCACAGAACTCTGAGGTCAACATATGTTTACCTAGCAAGAAAAGGAACTATGTCAAAGTTATGTCAGTAGCTTTCACTGCCAGCATTTCTATGCAAACAAAGCCTCACTAAGCAATCAAGAGAATTCTCAGTTTCTCACAAAGCATGTGAATCATCATTTCTTTACTACACAAATTGCGACAGCAGAACAACAAAATGAAGAGAGGGGAGAGAGTGAGGAAGAGAGGAAAACCTCTTGGTGAGTTATAGGTGGAATGATCACGGCCCTCTGCAATTTGAAATTTAGGCGAGTGGGAAAACCCGCGAGTGGGACGAAACGCTCGGAAATTGGGAAGCTAGGGTTTGGTGCTCACCGTTTCTCACTCGCGAAACAATTTTGGATCGGAGAGGAAATCGCCAGTTCCACTCGCTTCACTCACTCGCTCGTCTCTATCTCTCTTCCTCTGATTTCACAGCGCGTCGACGTCGTCGGCCACCTGTTAATTGGTATTTTTGTTTTTTGTTTTTTTATTATTAATTTCGGGACAATGTCTGTTCTTCCCCTACACGCGTGACGCGTGAGTCATGGTGACCCGGGACCCTGTTCCGGATGTTTGAGGACCTAGCGCGTGACATCGGGGACAAAGTGCCCTGCCGCACATTACATGTCATGGTTAGGTTAGTAAATTAAATACTGCCTCCTTGTATTTATATTCTTAATATATAAAATATATAAAATTAGTTAATTAATTTAAATTAATTAAATTAATTTTTAATTTAGTTATTTATAATAAATAGGTATTTTTAAAATATTATTACTAATTATATGTATTAGTTAAAATATTATTTTATAAAATATTTGACATGTGTAATTATTACGAGAATCATCTTAAAAAAATAGATAAATATGAGAAAAAAAAAAGTGAATTAAAATATTATATTTAAAACCAAATTGAATATCAAATTGGCTCTTATATTAAGGATCGGGGGTAGTAATAATTATAAAAAAAGTTAACACCAATTTAATCTCTAAAATTTGATTTCATTTTAATTTTAGTCTTTAACAGTCTATAATAACAAGTTTTATAGTAAAAAATAATAGCTTTTGAGACTTTTTTTTAATTATTTTTTTTACTTGGAACCTTATTGTAATTCTTTTTTTTTCATTCATTCATCCCTCCCTCTTCATTGGCAAGAAACTTGGCAGAAGCAGGCAATGGAGCAGGGTCCAAGAAAGCAAGGGCAATGAGGAAGCAGAGAGCGCGTAAAGGAGAGAATTGAGCGATGCTGCCCAAGTGCCTGTTAATTAATGTCCGTCCAAATCTCTCACATTTATCGGAAAAATTATAATGGAATTCTAAACAAAAAATAATAATTATTAAAAAATCATAATAATAATTTAATTAACTTATAATGACAAATCTTAGAATAAAAAATGAGAATTTATAAAATTTATTTTATAATTTTTTTTCTCGAATCTTATAGTAATTCTCTCTTCTTTATTTGAAGAAACTTCTATTGAGATTCCATTTTAACCACAATGCACGCATATTTTAGCAAATGGAATCAATTTCAGCAGTGACGACCATTATGCTCATTGTGATGAAAGAACCATACCGTATATTTTTATCTGTTTGAGTTTAAAATTTAAAAATTATTTTTTAAAAAAATGATAATTAAGAAAGTATCTTTATTTTAGATCTTGTATAGATGAAAATAATTTTTAAAAGAATAAAACAGAAAAATAAAATCCAATCCTAATAATCCAAAAGCACTTATTCTTGTAATCCGAAACAAAATTTATCTCACATAATTAAAAATTTATTTTTACAATATCCTACGTCCTTCTAAATAGGCACTAAATTTAGATGTAGGAAGTAGTAATGAGTTTTTAATACTCATCCGTATGCTCAGCACCGGAACTCATTTCATTCTGTTTTCATTAAGGTCCTATTTGCCATCACGTTTAAAATCATTTGCGAATAATTTTATATAAACTGAGACAAATTTTTCTCATATATTTATCCCGTATTTTATAAATCAAGATTGAAAAGCTTGTAATAAGCCTTTCCAAACGGCCCTAATTCGTCCCCCTACAATCCATCCAATATGAGTAGATAAATAAAGCCACTTTTGACACTCAGCGTTGCTTGTAACCGCAGACTAATTTTCAAACCTCCCCAATGGAACCTATATTTATGAATATGAATTTGTGCTTTTCTCAGTACTATATTGGAAACTTACTCTCTTGCGTGCATCCGTAGTTGTTGCAATAGTACTTGCATGGTCGTGATTATAAATGCCAACGTCTCACCTGTGATTCCTAGCAAGTTCACAAACAGCGTTTTGATCATCCAAGAGAGACTCATAACTTGGATCGAAACCCAACGCATAGCAATACATACTATATTGCATTATTCACATATTGCCTATGGCAGTTCTCTCCGTGGCAAGAGCAGGCAGCATCGCCAAACCAAAGTTGTTGCGTCTCAGGTAATTTTTACTCCTCTTGTCCTAAATATAAGACTCTTATACACATTAATATAATGGTTTTATATTTAAGACCAGAGGAGTATTTCTTTGAATATTTTCTTCAAATGCTTACCATATAAACTTCTTCTAAACGCTTATTATCGGCCGGAATGAATTGTGTGAGAAGATCATTATACAGAGGAAAAAGAGTGAGCTGAGCAAGATCCGCCAGAAGGTTGTGAAGAAAGATGTGGGGCTTCAGGAGGAAGCTGTGAAAAGAAAGATAGCGGAGGTGACGGAGGAAGAGGAGGGACAGTGTGGGTCCCACATCCAAGGACAGGAATATATGTCCCGAGAGGGGAAGAGTGGGTTATGAAGGACGTGCCTGGAAATGCATCCACCTTCACTCCTACTTGCTGGTTCAGAAACGACCAGATCTCAACCATCCCAACTCTTGAAATTTATTTTTTGAAATCATAATTCACTTATCTATGACACTACCTATGATCCTAATTATAAGCCTTTATTTATTGTCTATAAATAATATCTTGTAATTATGACGGAAGTAGTTTTTTTTATTTTTTATGGAGAGTTCTTCGACATCTCAATCTTATGAGCTATACTAAGTTTATGTATATGTAGTCGCATTGTCCTACGTTTCTAAATAATTTTATTGTAATATAATTAGCCAAGTGAGAATGATAATATAATATTCCTTCTGTCCTTAATATAAGACCTATTTATCATATTTATCGATATTTCTAAATTACCTCTATGAATACTCCATTAATCATAATCAAATAAGTGAGGAAGGGAGGATATTAAGAAAGATAATTATAGTGTTTTAAGAAAAATATTTTATATTTTTTATAATTAACTAATTTACCTAACTTTCTCAATCTGATCAAATTAATTAAATAGGTCTTATATTAAAGACTGAAAAAGTATAATTATATATAGATTGTATTTTGGCCTGAAATTATACGGGAACTTGGCTGGAAAGTACTGTATATGCGTGAGCCACTTAATAGCCCCGCCAACGCAATCCGACGATGCATTGGGTCGACAGGTGTACGCTATTTGAAACCGACGAGAAATTATCGGATTCCTGCTGGTCTTATATACTCTTCCGGTTCTTAATAAAAAACTCATTTAACTAATTGATTAGATTAAGAAAATTAGATAAGTTAGTTAATTATAAGAAAAGTAACACATTTTTCCTAAAACACCATAATCATCTTTTTTAATACTCCATCTCCCTCTTCTACTTGATTATGATTGAGGGAATATCCATAGGGGTAATTTAGAGGAAAGTGATAAATATGAGAATGGATCTTATATTAGAACTAAAATCAACTTAAGAATTAGATTCTATATTAAGACCCGAAAAGTACTATATAGGAACACGAAGGAACCTTCGATCTTCCATACGAGTGGTGGTACGGTAAATAAAAATTAGGCGCGTGTCATGGAGGTACAACTAGAATCTAAAATCACTATGGGCTCAAAAAAAAAAAAGGTTCAATTGCAACTATCGGAAAATTATATTCCTCCAATTTTTATCATAAGATTTAATATTAAATTGATTTTAATTCAAATATAAAATTTATTTTTCATTTGTTAATTTATATAATTAACTAACTTATCTAATTTTTTAAATTTAATTAATTAGTAAATAGGTCTTATATTAAAAATAAAATGAGTTTAGAAGAGATGGATGGTTTTATTATTAGTCACTTTATAATGTACTCCCCCGTTCCTTATTATAAGAGACAAATAACCGAAAACGTTGATCAAAAAACAGTTAAAATTAGTTAAAAACATTAATGTGTAAAAAGTATAATTTTTCCAAAAATGCCCTCATTAATAAGGAGAGAGAGCATGAGAGAGAACAATTAATTATTAAAAGAAAGAGAAGTGGGAGGGAGGAGAGGTGTGAATTGGAGATAATAAATATGGCTAAAATAGTAAATCAACACAAAAAAGTAGAGACAACTGTAAGTGTCTCTTATATATAGGAACATCCATAAGCATCAATGTCTCTTATAATAAGGAACGAGAGAGTATATATTAATTAAGCTTCTTTTCGATATCATTCATATTTAGAGTCATTGATTATGAGAAAGAATGCAATATAATTATCAAAATTTTCTATTTGAATATGGGCAAAATCAAAAATTTATTCTATTTACCCACAGAATTAATTAGAGTTAAAATGCAAATTTGTCTTGAAGATTTTTATTTAAGAGCAATATTGTCTCTGATTTTTTTTCGGCCTCAATGTTGTGTTGGAAGCTTCAAAACGTAAAATTAAAATGACGTAAAATTTGAGGAATTAAAAATATTATTAACCCTTATAAAAATTTATGTAAAAACTTAAATATTTCTCAATAAAATTCGAAGTCACGGCATTGGGAAAAAAATTTTATAACAAAAATTACAAGTAACAATGGAAATTTAACCCTGCTATATATCAATGATATAAATTTTAAGTTAATTACCTGTCACCAAAGAGGTTGAAAAATTTTGCATGTATGTAAAACTTGGTAAAGCATCAATTCTTTTTCTTATTAAAAGTAGAAAAAAGAAATTAATTAAATGTAAATAAGTCGTGTGAACAAAAAAAAACAACACAATTCTTTTTTAATCGAAATTAGCATTCACAATGGGAGTTTTTTTTTTTTTTTAATCCTTACCTAAAATGTTTTGCAAATTCAAATTGGAATGTGGAGGAATGCAGAGTACAGAATGTACAGAATTCCACTAATTGTATTTTCAGGAAAGATAGGTGAGGTGATTTCATTCATTCCGTCCTTTTCATTGGCAAGAAACTTGGCAGAAGCAGGCAATGGAGCGGGGTCCAAGAAAGAGAGGGCAACGAGAAAAAGCAGAGAGCGCGTAAAGGAGAATTAAGCGATGCTGCCCGAGTGCCTATTAATTAATGTCCGTCCAAATCTCTCACATTTTTTATCGGAAAAATTATAATGGGATCCTAAAAAAATTATTATTATTATTAAAAAATCTTAACAACAATTTGAATAAACTAGTTTTAGAATAAAAAATAATAATTTATAAGATTTATTTCATAATAATTTTTTTCTTTAGAATCTTATACTAATTCTCCCTTCGTTATTTTGAAGAAACTTCCATTGAGATCCCATTTTAACCACAATGGACGCGTATTTTAGCAAATAGAATCAATTTCAGCGGTGACGACCATTATGCTCATTGTGATGAAAGAACCATACCGTATATTTTTATCTTTTTAATTTAAAATTTAAAAATTATTTTAAAATATTTTTAAAAGAATAAAACAGAAAAATAAAATCCAATCCTAATAATCCAAAAGCACTTATTCTTGTAATCCGAAACAAAATTTATCTCAGATTTTGTGAATCATAATTAAAAATTTATTTTTACAATATCCTACATCCTTCTAAATAGGCACTAAATTTAGATGTAGGAAGTAGTAATGAGTTTTTAATACTCATCCGTATGCTCAGCACCGGAACTCATTTCATTCTGTTTTCATTAAGGTCCTATTTGCCATCACGTTTAAAATTATTTGCGAATAAGTTTTATATAAAACTGAGACAAAATTTTTCTCATAATTTATCCCGTATTTTATAAATCAAGATTGAAAAGCTTGTAATAAGCCTTTCCAAACGGCCCTAATTCGTCCCCCTACAATCCATCCAATATGAGTAGATAAATAAAGCCACTTTTGACGCTCAGCGTTGCCTGTAACCGCAGACTACTTTTCAAACCTCCCCCAGTGGAACCTATATTTATGAATATGAATTTGTGCTTTTCTCAGTACTATATTGGAACTTATTCTCTTGCGTGCATCCGTAGTTGTTGCAATAGTACTTGCATGGTCGTGATTATAAATACTAACCTCTCACCTGTGATTCCTAGCAAGTTCAGAACAGCGTTTTGATCATCCGAGAGAGATTCATAAATCGGATCGAAACCCAACGCAATACATACTAATATTGCATTATTCACATATTGCCTATGGCAATTCTCTTCATGGTGGCAAGAACAGGCATCATCACCAAACCAAAGTTGTTGCACCTCAGGTATTTGATTTCTTTGAATATTTTCTTCAAATGCTTACCATGTAAACTTCTTCTAAACGCTTATTATCGGCCGGAATGAATTGTGTGAGAAGTTCATTATACAGAGGAAAGAGTGAGCTGAGCAAAGATGCCAGAAGGTTGAAGAAAGGTACGAGGCTTCAGGAGGAAGCTGTGAAGAGAAAGATGGCGGAGGTGGCGGAGGAGGAGGGACGGTGGGTCCCCCATCCGAGGACGGGAATATTTGTCCCGAAAGGGCAAGAGTGGGTTATGAAGGACGTGCCTGAAAGTGCAGCCACCTTCACTCTGACTTGCTGGTTCAGAAACGACCATGATCTCAACCATCCCAACTTTTGAAATTTATTTTTTGAAATCATAATTCACTTTTCTGTGATGCTTATTACGGAGAGTTCTTCGAACATCTCAATCCCATGAGGCTGTACTGAGTCTATGTATACGTACTCGCATTGTCCTGAGCTTTTAAATAATTTTCATTGTAATATAATTAGCCAAAGATACACTGTGTGTCAGCAAGTGAGAATAATACTCCTCTTGTCCTTAATATAGGACCCAATTTTTGAGTTGGTTTTGATCCTAAATATAAGACCACATTTCTTATATTTATCAATTTTCTCTAAATTACCCTATAAATACTCTCTCAACCATAATCAAGTAGAGGAGGAGGGAGAGGGGGTATTAAGAAAGATGATTATGGTATTTGGGAAAAACGTTACTTTTCTTATAATTAACTAACTTACCTAACTTCCTTATATCTATCTAATCAAATTAGTTAAATAGTTTATATTAAGGACTGAAGGAGTATAATATAATATTACTCTTAATATAAAATCTAGTTAACTAATCTCAGTAGATTAAAAAAATTAGGTAAGTTAGTTATTTTTCTTAAAATATCCTTACTAATCAAATATATTGATTAAAACTATCATTATTATAAGAACTATCTTAAGAAGAAATGAATAAATATGAGAGATAAAGTAGATTAGAGTCTTATATTTAAGATTAAAATAAAAATTAAACAAATTTTTATATTAAAGATCAAAAGGAGCATAATTATATATAGATTTTGTTTTGGCCTGAAATTATATATAGGGTATGGAACTTGGAAAAGTACTGCTATATGCATGAGCCACGTGATGGGCCCGCCAACGCAATCCTACGATGCATTGGGTCGACAGGTGCACGTTACTTAAACCGATGAGGAAATTATCGGATTCCTGCCGGTCTTAGGAGCACGAAGGAACCTTCGATTTTCCATACGAGTGGTGGTACGGCAAATAAAAAGTTAGGAGCATGTTATGGAGGTGCAACTAGAATCTAAAATCAGTATGGGCTCAACAAAAAATGGGCTGATTGCAACCATCAGAAAATTATAATACTCCTCTAATTTTTACTGTAGAACTTAATTATTAAATTAATTTTCGTTCTAAATATAATATTTATTTTTTATATTTAGTGATTTATATAATAACTAAATTATCTAATTTTTTTAATTTAATCAAATTAGTTAAATAAATCTTATATTAAATATAAGAAGAGTTTCTTGAAGAGTCAATGGCTTTTATATTAGTCACTTTATAGTGTGTGTGTATATATATATTAATTAAGCTTCTTTTCGATATCATTCATATTTAGAGTCATTGATTATGAGAAAGAATGCAATATAATAATCAAAATTTTCTATTTGAATATGGGCAAAATCGAAAATTTATTCTATTTGCACACCGAATTAATTAGAGTTAAAATACAGAATTGTCTTGAAAATTTTTATTTAAGACCAATATTGTCTCTGATTTTTTCGGCCCCAATGTTGTGTTGGAAGTTTTCAAAACGTAATTACATCTTATTAAAAAATTGATATTGATCATTAAAGAAATTGACGTTGATCGTTAATGTTGAAGGACAACATTACTCCATTTTAGGGGGGTAATCTCAAACTAATTTTTTTTTTTGGGTTTTTAGGACAAATTTGCATTTTAACCAGTAAATTATATCACATCTACCCGCAATCAAGCATGACACTATCCCTTCTTTAGTTTTGAAGTACTTAGATGTGAATATAAGAGGAAATACACATGCATATGAAAACAAGTTTGTTAAAGCTAAAATAATTTTTATCTAATGCTGTGGCTAGCTACCAGTTAGCTACCAACACGTGTGCTTTTTAGAAAAAGAATTTTTTTTGTTTAAAAAAGGTTTAAGTAAGTTGAGTTTCGAAACCTTATCGATCAGGATTAAAACTTTCCTTCAAACTTAAAAAACGCTTACAAAGGTGTTTACAAATCGCCCGTTAACAAGGTCCTTACATCAATAGTAGGATTTGAACTCATCATCTTGTAGGTTATGAGTGAACTCCTTACTAATTGAACTAACTCTTGTTGATAAAAGAAAAAATTGATCATGAGTATCTTCTTCTGCTTTTGCCTGTACCTGTCACCTCATTTTTGTATCTGGGTGCCTTATGAAACGAAAGACCTCATCAACGGTATATATTGAGTCGACACGTGTATATATATTCTTAGAAAGCTATGAAGACCATGCATTTGGATCGGCCATGCGTGCATTTGGATCGGCCATGCGTTGGTTAATATAAAAAGTATTTAACCAATTTAAGTACATTAATAAAATTTATTTAGTTTATTATTTGTAACAAATATAAGTTAATTTTCTTAAAGTATCATTAATAAAAATTTCGTTAATATGTATAATCAATAGTATACTTGAAATACTACCTCCGATCCTTAATATAAGATCAAGTTTGACTTTTATTTTGATTCTAAATATAAGAGCCTAATCTACTTTGTCTCTCATATTTATATATTGTTTTTCCAAGTAACCCTTCTAATAATGACAGTTCTAGTCAATATACTTGATTAGTAAGGATATTTTAAAAAAGACAACACCTATTTTGGATAAATAACTAACTCAATTTACTTTCTTAATCTCCTCAAATTAGTCAAATGGCTCTTATAAGTATGACCGGAGATAGTAATAAATTATGAATTTAAGAGGCAAAATGAATTGAGGTTTTAAATTTAGAATTTAGAATTAAATTCAAACCTAATTAGTTTTTATATTAATAGTTGGAGGTACTATTAAAAAGGAATAACTTGTAATGTTCTGCAAAGGATGATGGGAAGAAAAAAAATAAGCTGGGAGCATTACGTGCGCAGATACAGCAGAAAATATGGCTCCGGTTCAAGAGATTGACAAAATTTTAATGATACTTGATTAAGATAAAAATATGGTTAATTCCAAGCAGGATGTATCATGTATGGCAAATTAACTTATTGCATTGGCTTTATTTTCCTGCCAATAATTCATGCATGCTTCATATAGGTTAGTACCAACAAAAAAAATAAGATCAGGATGTTAGATGCATCTGAAAAATAAAATTAGGGTGTTGAACCAAAATATTTATACCAGTACAATGAATACGCATATGGCAATTCATTACTCCCTATTAACGCACGGTTACAAAACTAAAACTGTCAAAGAAGATAAAAATTGTTTGGATATTGCTATTATCATCCATTTCAAGAGAAAGCATTTCTCAAATTGTCACGAACAGGCAAGAATTTATAACCACTGGTTAATTTTTCAAACGTGTATCTGAATTTGTTCTTTAGCATGCACTTTCACAGGCGTATACTATAGAACTTATTCTCTGATTTAATTGCTTCTATTTGCATGAACATATTATAAATACTTCTTAAAGAAAAAGTTCTAATTGCTTCTTAATTGTTAAACTCATTCCAGATCCTTATACTCATTCCAAGTCCTTATTAATGCATAAGTCTTGATTTTGATTTTTACACATAAGCCACGTTAGTTCTAGTTAGCAGTTTATATATATAAGCCTAGTTAACGGTGTTAATGCCACGTCAGTAGAATTAAATCAGTTCGCATCTTTTTCAGTACTGTGGAATGGGGAAGAAAGCCCAAATTTCAAGCCCTCTAGGGGAATCCGTCAGGGTGATCCATTGAGCCCTTATATCTTTGTGCTTTGTATGGAGAGACTAAGCCATACTATCAGAGCTGAATGTTTAGCCAAGAGATGGAAACCCCTCAGGTTTGGAACCAATGGACCGGCAATCTCACACCTATTTTTCGCTGATGATCTGATTCTCTTTACAGAGGCAAGCATGAACCAAATGGAGGAAATCAGACGGGTCTTAGGGGAGTTCTGTAAGGTGTCGGGCCACAGAGTCAACTTGACAAAGTCAAAGATGTTCTGCTCTAAACATATTCACATTGACCAGGCTAATGAACTCAGTCAGAGTCTTGGTATTGGGCTGACAGCTGATCTAAGGAAGTACCTAGGAGTCCCCATACTTCATAAAAGGGTTACTAAGGAGACTTTTAAGCAGCTGATACAGAAAACTAAAAGAAAACTATCCCTGTGGAAGTGTAGACACCTTACTATGGCAGGGAGATCTATCCTTATTAAGGCTGTTTTATCAGCTCTACCAAGCTACCAAATGCATTCTCAAATGCTTCCAAAAGGGACCCTACAGGAGCTTGAAAAAATCAGCAGGTGTTTCCTCTGGTCACAAGAAGAAAACACAAGGAAACTACACCTTGTATCTTGGGAGACAGTCACTAAACAGAAAAAAGCCGGCGGCCTAGGCCTAAAAAACCTGGTGAAACAAAATCAAGCTTTCACTCTTAAACTCTGCTGGGGGTTATTGATGAAGGACGATGCGCTATGGGTAAAAATATTGAAGGCAAAATATGGTTGCGGTACTGCAGAGATGCCAAGTGTTAATAAGAAAAAGACAGAATCAAGAACATGGCAAGCTATCCGAGGTGCCTGGGACCGTTTTGTTTCTGGGCTGGGGAGGAAAATTCATAATGGCCGAAACACAGCTTTTTGGGTAGATCTATGGACACCACTGGCTAGACCCCTAATCTCCTATGTAGGCGACCCAAGGGGAATCAATACATCTGAAAAAGTTGGCGAGCATGTTACTCCCTCTGGATATTGGGATACCTCCAGATGGCTGGGAAAGCTTCCACGGTGGGTCGTTAATATTCTAAGAAGACTGAAACCCCCAAGTCCTGGTCACGAAGATAGCTTCCAGTGGAGACCTGCTCTGGATGGGGCCTTTTCTGTCAACTCTGCGTATAAGTTCCTGATGAAGGAAGAAGCAATAGCAGATCAATCCATTTGTAAACAGATTTGGAAGTGGCGGATTCCCGAAAAAGTTAAAATTTTCATGTGGCAATTATCTCACGAGAGAGTACTCACAAATTCACTAAGAGCTCAATGGGGTCTCTCAAATTCGAGTGAATGCCCGTTTCGGTGTCAGAATGAGGAGAGTATTTTACACACACTAAGAGATTGTGAGAGAGCTAGAAACTTTTGGTATCAAATGTTATTAACTAACCACACTGCTAGTTTCTTTTCTGGTAATTTGCAGGGATGGCTCAAGTGGAACACTCGAAATAGCCCGGGAAAAAAATCTCTTCGCACCAATCCTTGGAACAGAGTATTTAGTTTGGGCTGCTGGATTCTATGGACTTCTAGGTGCCAATATGTCTTCGAAGGAACCACACGATCTACATCGGACCTTGTGCACCAATGCTCTTACCTCATCATGGAACAAGTGATAAACAATGAGCTTTATCACCAAGTTTATAAGGAGGTGGGGGATCAAGAAACACGATGGACACCACCGCCACAAGATGCAGTTCGAATTGATGTTGATGGCTCGGTAAGATATGATCAACAAGCGGCATGTGGAGGATTAATTCGAAATCATGAAGGAAAATGGATCATGGGATTTACGAAATCTCTGGGTATATGTTCTGTCAGAGAAGCAGAGTTAATGGCGATCAAACACGGACTGGAGCTCGGCCATAAATTGGGTTTCCAGAAAACTCTGATATATTCTGACTCGCTGGACGTTTTTAATATGCTCACAAGAGACTACGCAACAGACCGCTCCATAAGCAGTTCACTCCGAGAGGTTAGAAGCCTTCTATTGCAAAGTGGAGAGACGGAGCTTAGACACACACGTAGAGAGAACCTGAGGTGTGCTGATTTTCTTGCGCGAAAGGGACACGTGAGCTCAGAGGAGTTGATCTTATTTCCGGACGTTCCAAGTGGATGCTGGCACGTGTTTGCCGAAGACCTCCAGAGAGACCAATAGCACCCCGCCTGGCTCTGTGTTTTTTGTATTTGTTTTGTAGTCTCTTGCGAGACCTTTCCAAGCCTCAGCTTGCCTTTTTTCCAAAAAAAAAAAAAATCAGTTAGACTTAGATCTAAGTTCTTATGAACTTGTAGGGATGAATGTCTTGCACAATGTAAAGTATAGAATAGAGACGAAAAACAATGAAACCAAATTATAAGAATGAAAACCAAAATTCATTGAAAATATGAGTTTAACTCAAAAAATATCTGGGTAATATTAACTCAAAAATTATTTAGTAACAGCAATAAATTGTTTGGTTTGCATAATTTTAATATGTACCACCCCCGGTCTTAATTATAAGATTTTGTTTGTAGACTATAAATGAGGTTTTATAATTAGAACTAGAGATAGTACTCCTCCGGTCCTTAATATAGGACCCATTTAACTAATTTGATTATATTAAGGAAATTAGGTAAGTTAGTTAATTATGATATAAGTGACACATTTTTCCTAAAACACCATAATCATCTTTCTTAATACCCCTCTCCCTCTTCTACTTGATTATGGTTGAGGGAGTGTCCATAGGGATAATTTAGAGAAAATTGATAAATATGAGAAATGGGTCTTATATTTAGGACCAAAACCAACTCAAGAATTGGGTCCTATATTAAGGACCGGAGGAGTATTATACTATATCTGGTTCTTAATATAAGATCTCGTTTGACTTTTATTTTGATCCTAAATATAAGACCTCAATCCATTTTGTTTCTCATATTTATGTATTTTTTTTTTCATAAAATAGTACTTCTAATAATGATAGTTCTAACCAACACACTTGATTAGTAAAGATATTTTAGGAAAGACAACACATATTTATTATAAATAACTAATTTAACTTACTTTTTTAATCTTCTCAAATTAGTCAACTAGCTCTTATAATTAGGATAGGTGATCGTATTTAAATAGAAAGGAGTAATTACTATTTGGTTGTACTTGAAATATGGATGGATAAGGATAAGACCATAAATATGTTCAGAATATGCTAGGAATAGAGAGTGGGGAGCCCGCGGTTTTGGCCTTGGCGAAGACTATCAATATGATTATTGCCTCCGTTCAACGGTTAACCTCATTGGGGTGTTAGATCTTTTTTAATTTTTGCCTGCCATTGAGAGTTCGATATGCTTTTCATTGTTGGCCACATTCTAGAAAGATGCTCTCTTAGGCCTCGAATATAAAAATTTTTAGGATTTTTCTATTGTGTTAATTATTTTTTTTTATCAAGCCAAATAATTTTGATCAAGAATTATTTTTTTACAGTTACCTGCGCCCTTGGGGTGCAGTTATTCATCTGAATTTGTTCTTTAGCATGCACTTTCCTGGGCGTACTATAAAACTCATTCTCTGATTTGCTTCCGAAATACTACCTCCGGTGTTAATTATAAGAGTCAATTGACTAATTTGAGGAGATTAAAGAAGTAAATTGAGTTAGCTATTTGTCCTAAATATGTGTTATCTTTTCTAAAATATCCTTGCTAATCAAGTGTATTAACTAGAATTATAATTATTAGAAGGATTATCTTGGAAAAAATTGAGTAAATATGAGAGACAAAATATATTGACGTCTTATATTTGGACCAAAATAAAAGTCAAACAAGATCTTATATTAAGGACCCGAGGTAGTAATTTTCATTAATATGCATAAAAATATTTTTTTAAAAACAATCTCGCTGCTTCATTTGATATATTAGCTGAAGAAGTAAATTGTAAACGTCTGAGCTTTGAGAAAATATCAAAATTGTTGGCAAAAAAAAGAAGAGCAAATATCAAAATTTTCTGCTTCTATTTTTTCAGGTTATATGAACTTGCCAGGATTAAGAAAGATGGACGCATACCGGTTAGTTTTTTTTTTTTAACATAAGTATAGCATATTAAGTTTTTTTTAAAAAAAATATATCTAGTATTTTAAAATATTTTATCATGTATTTTTTTAAGTGTATCTAACATTTTAAATTTTCTTTATACATTCAGCACTTTAAATTATTAAATATATAAAATAAAATTAAAAAACATTCTTAACGTGCTAGACGTAGTTAAAAAAATAGTTCAGAATGCTGGTACATCATAAATTATTTTAGGAATGTATCTAAAAGAATGCTCTGAGATGCCGTCCCCATCAACTTCTGTTATATTTACGTTGTGACCCCAAAAAAAAAAAAACGTTCTGTTATATTTACGAGAAAATTCTGCAGACGCGACAACCAGAGAATGAGAAATATAGCCGAAAGTACCACCACCACAAATTGTATTCTGATCACTTGGCTTTGATGGTAAAATTATGCATCACCGCCCCTCTTTCTAAATATAAGAGTTATAAAATCTTGTGTTGTTAATATAAAAACTAGTTGATTAATTTAAGTAGATTAAAAAAATTAATTATGTTAATTATTTGTAATAAATAAATTTTTTAAAAAAATATTATTACTAATCAAATATATTGGTTAGAACTATCATTATTATAAGGACTATCTTTAAAAAGAATAAATATAAAAGATAAAATAAATTTGTGTCTTATATTTAAAATCAAAATAAAAGTCAAACGAGCTTTTACGTTAAAGATCGGAAGTAATATAAGAAATTTATTTTTATTCTGAATACAAAATATTAATTTATTTTGTCTCCATATTAATTATGCATAATAAATGGTCTTTTGGAGAGGTAGTTACTAGTTACAACGCATTGTAATTACGATGCTCTTTCAATAAATTATTAATTGTTATTTGTGTTTTCTCTGGTTTTTTCTTTTTCAAATGAGTTATTCCATTTCGCTGCGCTTTCCCCTCCGCTTCTCGGAAAAGCAGGGGAAGAAACAGTGTTGATTTATCAGCATCACTGTGAAGCGCGAAATTCACAGAAACCTTCCTTGCGCTTAGATACAATATTTTCGCTCTGTTTCCTCTCAGATTCGGCATAACCGCTGAAGTAGAGAGATCGATTCGGGTTTGCTAGTGCATGACGAGTGCTTCGGAGCTATTCTACAATCGGAGGTATCGTTTGGGACGAGCCTCTGATTATCTTGGGAACGATTCGTTGCCCGATAGATACTTTCACCTCGATGTTAATAACCGTCGCCATCATCACCATCCACACGATTTCAGTGATGGTGAGACTCTCCGACGGTCCACGCCAACGCAGCGGCTATTCCATCGTTTGTCCTCCACGGTAAGCCTTTTTTTCTAATAACATTTTTATAGGCTTAATTTCTCTGAAAGAAGATCGAAGGGAGTAGACTTTTAGATAAAAGTCGAGCTACGGTACTTCTTTGGGTGAAATTTTGCGTGCAATTGGTTAATTAGACACCTGCTGTCAGCTTTGGGCATGAACAGCTCCTGGATTTTCATGGAATTGGATTATTGATCTAACTTCTAAGTGATGGCTATCAGAAAGCTAGTATAAGTTCTTTTACGCATTTCCGTGTCTTTATTTATGTTTGAAACTGGATCAATTAGGAAATCAACGATCTGGTGAGGATGCAAGTCTACAGGATTTCATTATTTTCCCATTCCATCGTGGAACTCTTCCTACGTACCAAAGGAAGCATACAAGAGGGGCTCTTCAAGGATTTGGTTTTGTTTGATGTTGCAATTGTTATAAAGCTTAACGTTCGGCTTAGGGATGTATCGAGGGTCCATGTTGCAAGTTTTACCCAGCTCAATGCCTCACTTAGATCTGGTTCCCCCATTAATGTTATCCCTGAATCTTATCGACTGGATCTATTTTGGGTTAAGGTTTGGGCATGGACCATGGACGATGTAGAGCTCAAGTTCACCATCCGATAGCTCATAATATATCACAAAATTTGAGAAGGTCGCCCAAATGTTAAGATCATTGTGCATTCGAGGCCTTCATGGATTAGCCTTTTAAGTTATAGTGTGCTATGGAGTTTTACTTGTCAGTCAAGCGGCCTTCTGCATCTTCTTTGAGCTAAAAGTTTTTAGATGTTTAATGTGTTTTTTCTAGTTAACTATGCTAAGCTTTTTTTCTTTTTCTCTCTCCCCCCCCCCCTTTTATGGGTTTGGTGTTATATGGCAATGTGAATATGCCCTTGGTTTTGTTTGTTAACTTTTGTCATTCCTCAAAGCATTACAGAATTGTCATTTGTTCACTTCTTTCCGTTGGTAGGAAATTGATAGTAGTGTTGATCTTTTATACCGAGGTTTGAGTTTGACTATTATGGTCTGAGTCTCCTAACTTACTATATTCGTTTCCTTAGGAGCGGGAATCAGCTAGACTTGACCGGTGGCATAACCGATCTCTTTCAAACACGAGCAATTCTGCTGAAAATGTTAGCAGTTTCAGGGGCCCTAGAGTGACTGGCAATGACAGGCTACCCGTAGCTGTGGTACATGCAAGGGCAAGACTCCTTCAGAGGCTGAGTGCAGCACCTCCGTCCAGAAACAGGTTTGCATTTAACACATTGTTTTCTTAGTTTGTTGTGGCACATGGACATGCGGTACAGCTTAGAAGCATCTGGTAGCTTATTATCTTGATATACAGTACTTCTATATCTGTGAAACAGAGAAGCTGGTAAGTGTCAATGTAATCTATGTGCCTGTCTGAATATGTGAAGAACGGATCTGGGTAAATGATCCAGTATCAATATCATATAGCCTAACCTGATCAATATATCATTATAAATATGTATGACATGTCTAGCTATTTATAAATCAGATGGTGCAGTTTACTTCTCATATTTTGTGTAATACACGGTCTTCTTCTTTTCCTCCCCCCCCCGGAGGGGCCGGGAACGAAACAAAATCGAGCAACTAATTTGGGATATATACGGCTTTTCACAGCTTGATAGGGAGCCAATATCTTAGATGCAACTATTGGTGTCTCGTCGTTTTGCTGTTTCTTGGTGTCATTTTATGATTAAGTGGCACTAATAGATGTCTTTGCTTCCCTCTTGTTTTTCTTAGGCAAAGAGGTAGAGCCTCTCTAGATATTGACGACATGAGGCATACTAACTTCAGGGATGAAGAGAGCAGTGAATCATCAACAACTGGTTTAGCTGAGGGTTTCTCATTAACTGACTTAACTTTACAAATGGAAAGGTCCCAACTCTCACATGAAGTGAACAAAAAACCACCAGGACTCAACCAGGAGGCCATAGACCGTTTGCATATGGAAGTATTTGGCAACAGGGAAACACAGAACGGAAGAACTGGAATCTATAGTACTGCAGGATTGTGGCATATGCCTAGAAACTTTTCTGGATGGAGACAAGCTGATACGCTTGCCATGTGGGCACAGATTCCACTCTGTCTGTTTGGATCCATGGGTTCGAAAATGTGGCGATTGCCCGTTCTGTAGAAGAGAGATATTTGTAAACTAGAAAAGCCAATGCGCATTGCATGAAGTTTGTGGACATGTTGCATCTGCATAAAGGGTAATGTCGTTGTTTTAGATGTTGTATTGCTGTTTTTGTGGTTATGAAAAATACCATGAAGTTGCATTTTTTCCGTAGTCATGCGGATTTGTATTGATAAAATTTGGTGCATGCTAGCATTTTTACTCGTACTTGTGACTATGAAATGAGAGCGTTGTGTTTTCTTGTTCCCATACCATAAGGATTGCGATTTTGTTCACCAAAAAATAAAGAATTGTGATTTTGTTGGAGAACATGCAACGTGATTAAAAAGAACAGAGAGTGATTATAAATCCCAGTACCAGCCAATAAACAGAAATCCTAGGCATGATATAAATTAATGGACAATGGAATCAGGAAGATCAGAAAATACGTACGAATCATATTTACGTGACCATGATTCAATTAATGCGAATGACGATGATACCTTTATGTGTTACTTGATGAAGTCGTTTCCCTAAAAAAATTGAAGTCAATCAAGATGAGCTGCATTATTATTATGCATATGAAGCCAAAATTTTTTTAAACATCTGCATATAGATATAGATATTGTACTAAAAAAATTGGAAAAGATTTTAACAAGTCATTAATTGGAAATATTTTTTGATACGTTAAGAGATTTTAGACCCTTAACCTTTTGATGGCAAGAAAAAGCCCTTGACCCTTGCATGCCCATCCTAAATCCCACCGTTTAATTGGAAATATTTAAATGATACAATATAAAATTACACAAGATTAATTTTGCGCATTACGTATTTCGTATTAAAATTTAAATAATTAGCCAATTGTATATGAATCCCAGAAATTCTAAAAATGAAAAAAAATTATCCCACAACTAAGTGAGAATATTTAAATATAAATTTTTAACTTAAAAATACGATTTTTTTTCCATTTTCGTTTTCGTTTTCATCTCTATCAAATTGCTTCCAGCAAATCAAATGCGGCATTAGGACTTTAGTAAAATGTTTATAATAATTTATAAGACTAAAATGTCATCAATTTTTTTTAATTCCCCAGCTGTCGTTCCCCACTTTTGTAAACTACTACTACATCCGGTTTTTAATATAAGAACTTGTTTGATTTTTATTTTAGTATTAAATATAAGACCCCAATCAATTTTATCTCTCATATTAATCTATTTTTTTTAAGATAATCCTTGTAATAATAATAGTTATGGCCAATACACTTGATTAGTAAGAATATTTTAAGAAAGACAACACATATTTATTACAAATAACTAACTTAATAAACTTTTTTATTATAAAATGTAAATAGAAGCATCAGTCTTACCGAATTAGCCTAAATCTTGTAAGCCAACAAGACCAACAGAAAGCAGCAAGTCTCTCATAATACAGCAAAAATTTCAATTCTTATTAAAAAAAATGTTTACATTTAGTGTTCAACGGCTACTTGAACATGATTATTTTTAATAAGAAGATGCTTGTGTTTAGTAAACAAAAATTCTGAGATAAAATAGACAATTTACAAAGCATCATAGTTTGCAACAAACATTCACACACCTCCTCAGAAATAAGTATTACCAAAAAAAATGTGCAATTTGATTACCAATACAATTTTTATTATCATGATTAAGTCCAACCAAACATGCCTTTAATGATAACGGGATTAAAATTACTACTCCTCCGGTCCTTAATATAAGACCCATTTACCTAATTTGATTAGATTAAGAAAGTTAGATAAGTTAGTTAATTATAAGAAAAGTGACATATTTTTCCTAAAACACCATAATCATCTTTTTTAATACCCCTTCCCCTTCTTCTACTTGATTATGGTTGAGGGAGTATCCATAGGGGTAATTTAGAGAAAATTGATAAATATGAGAAATGGGTCTTATATTTAGGACCAATACCAACTCAACAATTGGGTCCTATATTAAGGACCGAAGGAGTATTACGGGTTTGCAAGAGAGTTAAATCAAAGGGGCTCTAACTCTTTCATAAAAGTTACCCAAAAAAAAAAATCTTTCGTAAACGTGAGATTATGATTTGGAATGTAAGATATAATAAAGAAGTGAATTATAATTAAAAAAAATAAAAACAAAGAGAGAGCATGATCCAAATAGATGGTTCCGTTGTCATATTTGCCACGTATCAATTTGAATATTATTACCATTCGCATTCAAATATTTTTATTTGGTGGTTATCCATAAAAATCATGAATTTTGTATTCATGAATAAAAAATTAGTCATGTTGGTGATACGACCAAACTCTAATAATAATAATAATAAATTAAGAAAAATGAATACCAGGAGCCGAAGGGGGTTTAACAAAACCACCAGATGAGGACACCTTCTTTGGGAACTGAACCGTTCCCAACGCGCATACAGAACGCACGCGTCACCTATAAAAGGCGCCACTTTAGTCCGTCTTCTTCGTTCTTACGCGGCAGAACACTCCTACTTTCCTCTGTACTCTTGACTTCTCACCCTAAAACCCCGTGGTTTCTATTTCTTCGTTGCCTATTTTACCTCTGTAAAACCTTACCATTCATTCTTCACACAGATATAAACCCTTTCGATTTCATCAAGCTCAAGTTTATGAGTATTTAATTGTATCTGTTTATCTATATACGTGAAGATGATGATGATGCGTTCGTTTCATGGCTTGCTGGAACACTGTTTTGGCGGGCTTGGGGATGAATGCGATGGTCTTCTCTGGCACTCGGAATTGAAGCCACACGCCTCTGGTGATTTCTCCATCGCCGTCGCTCAAGCCAATTCCAGCCTCGAAGATCAGAGCCAAGTCTTTACTTCTCCCTCCGCCACCTACGTTGGTGTCTATGATGGCCACGGCGGTCCTGAAGCTTCCAGATTTGTTAACAAACGCCTCTTTCATTATTTACAAAGTAATTTGCTCTTTCCTTGATTGATTAGGTTGCATTTCAGAAAATTTTCGTAAATTGAAGGGAAGTTGTGTGAATCTATGAGCACTGCTTACTAGTTATTTGCTACTCTTTTCTAGAATTTTCCGTTGAAAATGGGGGATTATCAGTGGATGTGATAAAAGATGCGTTTCATGCAATCGAGGATGATTTCTTGAGCTTGGTGAAGAAATCGTTGCACACAAGTCCCCGAATTGCTTCCGTAGGATCGTGTTGTCTCGTTGGTGCAATTTCTGACAATCTATTATATGTTGCGAACCTTGGTGATTCTAGAGTAGTTCTTGGGCGGAGAGCTATGGTGGGCCACAATCATTCGGTGGTGGCACAACGGTTGTCAACTGACCATAATGTATGTATTGAGGAGGTGAGGAGAGAGGTCGAATCTCTTCATCCTGATGATGAACAGATAGTGGTTTTTAGTCGCGGAACTTGGAGGATTAAAGGCATCATACAGGTATAGGGCCTTTTTTTTTTTCGTTGATTTGCTTATTTAATTTTTCCTGACACAACCTTTTATCTAAACATGCTTTTAGAAGAAATGCCTAATCAAATTTTTGTTTAATATATGATGATGATAGATTGACTTTCTCACTCTGGTTATCTATTTACAGTCAACCATGCCCTAGTCCATGATCGTTATAGTCAGACATGCGTGTCTAATGGTAATAACCGCTGTGAACTTGTGGTCATGGATAGAATCGTGGAATAGCCCTCCCTTGTTTCCCCAGAGATTCATTATGTTTGATATCCTCCTAGGTTTCAGCGAGAGCATTTGCTTGTATATCTCACATTCTTTTACTTTTCATAGCCTTTGTGCTTTAAAATAAAAGCTTATACATCAGAGTGTTAATGCGGACAAATAACACAAATTTTGAGTAAATGAGTACTAGTTTGAATCTCTTATGTAATTCCTACTAAATTGTGGAGAGAGATAAACGTATATGTCAGAAATGAAACACATTATTATATGTTTATCCTTCTCTTCACTTTAGGGATTTTAAAATTCCACACATGTTATCTACGATTTCCCTTCCAATCTTCTAGTCCCCTTTAACCTAATTCTATGGTTGTCATGAACTTAAATGTACGTCCAGCATTTTATCAAAAAATTATCAACACTCAACATATTAACCTTTTTATTGCATGTGTTTGACTCCAACTCTTAAAAGCAACTGTGATGAAAAAGGTCCGGGAAGACGATCTAAATTCTGAAGTTCTAAACCTTTTTGTTCTGCAGGTGTCAAGATCTATAGGTGACGTGTATCTCAAGAACCCTGACTGTTGTAGAGACCCTTTTTTCCAGAAATTTGGCAACCCTCTTCCTTTGAAACGTCCTGTAATGACAGCTGAACCATCAGTCATTGTCAGGGAGCTTGGGTCACAAGATTTGTTTCTGATATTTGCATCAGATGGCCTGTGGGAACAATTAACTGATGAAGAAGCGGTTCAGATTGTGTACAAATATCCAAGAGCAGTAAGTTCCTTGTCTTATCTATAAGATGCTTTTATACTTGTAATGATATTGAACTGCACTACACAGTTATTAAATTGAATCTAACTTATGTTTCTGGATCGATCAATCAGGGGATTGCCAAGAGATTGGTAAGAGCTGCTCTTGATTCGGCTGCAAAGAAGAGAGAGATGAGATATAATGACATGAAGAAAATTAAAAAGGGAGTAAGAAGACTTTTCCATGATGACATTACTGTTATAGTAGTGTATCTTGATCACCGAAAGAAGTCCACCTTCAAAGTTAAGAAAAATGCTCTCGGCTCGATAAGTGCTCCTATGGATATTTTCTCCCTAAATAGAAATGAAACGGAACAGAGTATCTTTCCTAAAGCTGCCTGAAGAATAGATCTTCCCATGTCTCTACATGATATCATCGGACTAATAAATGGATGAAGATGAGTGATGTAGGTGCATGCATGCAGGCTGAGGATCCTTTGGAAGAAGGGATGAAATTTCAGGGATGGTAACAGTGGTTACTGAAAAATTATCATTGATGCCAATAAGCATGTACATAGTTTGAGTTCTCTTTTTTAGGTCGCTGATCTCAATTTTGTTTCTCAGGTTCTTTGAGATGGTAAGAAAATAAATTTCAATTTGATTGATTTCTAATCATGTTGATCTCCTTCTATGGGCATGACCAGTGGTAATTTAAGAGCAGGGTCATGATAATGAACTATGATTCTGGCATTTGAAAGACATTTGGTGATCTGATTTATTTTATTAAAATTAATTATTTGCATCCATCGTCTTTGCCATAGATGTGTGTGTGTGTGTGTATTAAAATTGTTTTTGTTTAACTATTTTTTGGCTCGAAACTATTTTTTTTTTTTAAAAAAAATATCTATCCACGTTGAACTAGTAATTTTATATTTCAATGATTAGTGAATTTCAAGTGTTAGTATCTGATATTGAACAAACATGTGTTCTAATGTTCTAAATCAACAAATTCATTTTTTTTTTGGGGACAATGACATGTTTATCAGAAATTAATTTGGTTACTTTTAAAATTTCCAAAAAATCCATTCCCTGGAACGGGAACAACAAACATTGTCATGATTTCTATTCTTTTGCCCCCGGGGGGGGACAAAGTTAGGAAATTTAGAGATAAATGTATTTAATTCAATAATAAATGAAAATGCTGGCAAAAAATAAAAGTGAAAATAAAAATACTCATGTATACTTAATTTAGGATAGACCCAATTAAACATCAAAAATTGCTGATAGAAAACATGTTTTTTCTTGTTACAAGATCGACAGGATTTTTAGCCAAGGTGGAGGTGAATAGGTGCCATTATGCCACAAATGTAATTTGTTTTAGCCAAATGCATTGACATAAATGGTTTTTTTTTCGCCGACATAAATGTAATTTTTTAATGATAATGGATTGGGTCTAAATATAAGATTCTTTTTTTGACAAAATTTAATGAAACATTAGAAAGGTGTTTCAAATCTCATCAAAGGTGATAATAGGTTTAAGGGGATGTTTGGAAGCACCCAAAAATGCTTCTCAAAAGCATTTTTTCACAAAACGAGATAAACTCTTTCACATATTTACCTCGTATACCATAAAAAACACTTTTAAAATCATAATTTGGTTTTCATCCAAACATACTCTGAATAATATAAGGCATGGAGGAAGTAATACAATGCTCTGCCGACTTCCAACAAACATCAAAAGTCCGATGAACGGCTCAATATCCGTAGCTGTTCAAGCTACAGGGGTTCGCCCTGCGAGCTTGCTCTGTGACAACATCTTTACGGATATAATGCCCCTTCTTCTTTCAGGCATTCAGTCAAACAGTTTGTGGCCCATGCTATCGCCGACACTATTCCCCTCTCACGCTTCCAAGTTCCAACATCCATCCATCCCATCCCACGACCCACTTTCAAAGCACGCTTCTCTTGGAATCATCACTCACTTTCTCAGATCATAAGCAAATGAGCGCCAGCAATTTGGTGGCAGAGGCAATCTGGAAGGAAATTGAGTCAGAACGTTCAGGTCCGCCTCTCTCTCCCCTACCTCTATAGTTCTGTTGCTGATATTGCATATTGATTGTTTACCTAAATTTGACTTTGGCTTTTCAATCATGCATGTCAAACGCGGCACGGCATTATTGTTATCGAACTGCGTTGGCCACAGTGACCGATGATCATCTATGGACGTCAGTAGATTTCTTTTGTTTCGTGGTTTTGAAGTCATTTGTTGAACAATGAATGGGTTTTCACTCGTGTTTAACAACTCATTTGCTTTTTGAACCCAGATTGCACTTCATATTTGGCAAGAACTTTGAGCGAGCCGCCAGAATTTTGGATCAAAGAGGTGTCAAGAAGATTTCTGGGGAGCCCAGCGGAAGATCCATCTTCCAGGTTTGATTCCATTATTCCCATTCTATCTCCAAGAAATGCCAGGAAACTCAGGAATAATCCGATTTTTCCCCCTCCATTTTCGTATTCATAGTCATCCCCGGGAGGTTTCGAGAATAGCAATTTGGACATTCTGGTCACTTTGCATTAAAGGTTATGGATATCTGAAAGGACTTGGAAAGAGTTTCGTCATATGGTCTGATTAGGTACACCCAGAGAAGGCGCATTCAGCCTGTGTGCTGATTTCAAGTTGGCAATCACTGTTTGCTAATTTCTATACATCCGAATATGGCACTGAGTTTCGACTGTTATAAGATTTTTGTCTCTTTATTTTATATTGATATTGACATTCATATTACTGAATTATTAACAAAATCTTTGCGTTTAACGAGACAATAATTGAAAAACTCCCTACAAGCCTTAACCATTTTGGCCATAGTAGTAGTTGAATGCTTATAATGTCGAATAGAGTTTTGACAACTCGAACTTGTGTGTTATCCAGGTAATGGGAGAATCCAGAAGAAAAGAGGAGTATCTATGTTTTCCTGAGAACTTCTGCTCCTGTTATTCCTTCTTCTATGACGTCGTCAACAGAACAGAACAGCTTTGTGTGAGTCCACATCCTTGCTTCTCCATGCTTATCTTGCTTCTAACTTCTGCATTGGCAAAACCTTAAACTCAAACTTAGTAGTTTGCAGGTGTTTTTATTAGATGAGTTAATAATAAACTTTTCACAAAATTGTTCAAGTAATTTGTTTGCTTCACATATATCTTGGTGTGTTGTAGTGCAAACATCAATTAGCTGCAAGACTTGCAGCATCATTGGGAGCTTACTCAGAAGTGAAGATGTCTGATCAGGAACTAGCCATGTTGCTGTCCAAGCTATAGGCATTCAACTAAACGTTTTCCAGACTAAGATTCTACAATCAAGACCTTTTACATTCATAAAGACGAATGTTTATAACACATTGAAAAGAAAAGGCATTAGAAGCATAAGCCTCACACTTTCTCTATTTACATTTCTTTACAGAAAGTGTTATTATAGCTTGGAACAACGTTTACGATGACAATGGTCTAGCTTGGAACAACGTTTACGTCTTTACGATGACAATGGTCTATCCCCTCTCGCTTTCCGAATTGTTTTAGAGCTCTAAGTACACTGGAACTCGATTTGCCTCAAAAAATTAAACTTCAGTTGGTAGGTTCACACACAACCCTTCATTCGGATGATTACAGATGTTCTTTGATTAGATGCAGCAGCAAATTGGGGAGAAAAGGAAATGCTTATTGTTCTTCTCAACTGCTGAGTTTATCAATTTCGTTCCCCAATCTTTCCACTAGGGTTTCCCGAAAGAGATAAAGTGAGAGACCCAACATGCTTATTTAATTTATCTCTTCATATTGGATTACTTGGCTTTTGCAACCAGAATCGAGAACGAAATCTTCAGCACAAAGCAACTCGAGATCTAACAAGGAAACCATGAGGTCAAGTAGAAACCTACATGGTAGTACCACAGCCTGTTAAACAGCTACATTGCTCAAGCAAAACCCTTTAACAAAGCTTGTTCTGTTAAGAAACAACCAAAAAAGGAAAAAAAAAAGGCTACTAAATGGCAGGACATAAATTAATATTCAAATTCTACTAGTTCCATAGCCAAAACATATGACCTGCCCTACAAAACACAGTTTTTCCCTTCAACAATTGGCAAGCTTCAGAGCTAATTTTTCACTTGCTATCATTTGAGGAAGTGAGGGCTGATCAATCCGGCAACCTCCAGAAACCCAATTTGATCTTTCCCCGCAAATATCTTCTTCAGCTTCTCATCACAGATGATAATCTTCTTGTTTTGAGGGTCCTGTCAGAATTTGATGGCGCAACCAAGTTAGGACTAGAATGAAAAGATCGATTCATTAGTAAAAAAAAACAATCAAAATGTAAAACATCATCCATTGCTTTTGCCCAGAAGCAAGGCATCCAATCAGATAACCATATGAGACGACTACAAGCATGACTGCAGCACCTCTCCGTCAACCATACTTATATCAACTTAACAGAAAGGGATATCAAAAGAATTCAGTGAAATCACACAAATCAATCAAGAGATTATAAGGAAAATAGAGGTTCAAATTGCAAGTAGTCAAGCTTGCTTGCATAACAAGTAATCATTGAAGCATCCATAAGGCTTAGAAAGAGGTAGATTAGATTAGATACGGTTGACTCATGTAGACAAGTAACTTTGACAGCACCCCCCAATATAATATGATATGGCCATTCACAAGTGAACTCATGCCATATCAAATACATATAATAACAGAGCACATCCCAATCCCACAAAAGGAAAGCATTTTTGAACTTCATCAGCTAACCAACCATTAATTTCTCTCTCACACACACACAAACAAAAAATAAATAAATAAAGATACAAATTTGAATGCCATCATTAACAATATCAAAAAGGTTAACACCCATAATAAGTAATTTCAATCCACTCAGATAACTAGAGATATTGAGCAAGAATTCTTAGACAGAAATGTACCTGCAATAGTATGACTTTAATCAATCGTTCTAAGAACTAGAAATTATTATTATTTTTTTTTTTTGAACCAGCATAAGAACTAGAAATTAGCCAAAAACGTTAAAGAGGAGATCAAATTATGAAGTTGACAATAATGGGAACACCACTGTAAATACCACCATTCCGTTGACCTACATCTACTCCAAGATTGAGAAAATGGAGAGGCAGCTAGGACAGATGCTAACTGAAAAAGCGTATAAAAATCATCAATAAACCAAAAATCTGCATCAACAAAAAATGAAACCATATGGAAAATGAGGCTCAAACCCATACAAGATCAATTTAAGTATACACCTGTCAGTGTATAGGTTCATTTCTCGCATAGGGAGCCTATAAAAGAAATGAACCAAGAGCCATTGTATAAGATTGTCAATATACAGAAGCATCAAAAGAATCCACCACGATTAGGTTTAGCTCGGTTAGTACAATAAAATAGAATTTCTCTTCAGAACCAGAAAACCCTTCTTGTAATCCAAAAATTACGGGGGAAAAAAACAAATGGTAGTAATATATTAACATGGTATAATCATTACATTAAGGGGAAAAAATGCTGTTCTTCTTTCTCTCCTTAATTTTAAGCAAGGCGCGTGTTTAATTACCAGAGGAAAGCGCCTAATGTGCAAAGAAAGGGCAGAATTAAAAAAATCCCAAAACACGCAAAACAATACCAGAATATTAAAAAAAGGCATCACCTTTCAGGACAACGAGTACTTAAAACTCGAAAACACAGGGTGAAGTTAAACACCTGAAGAACATAAAAGAGAAATGATCAAGAAGAAAAAGAAGAAGGAGATGCTTCACCTGAAGATTGTTCTCCTTAATGTAAGCCCAAATCTGCTTGAGAGCTTGGGTTCGAGAAATTTCGGGAACCCCAACGAGGGCTTGCATTTCGGGGGAGACTCTGCGAGGCCTCATGATACCTCGAGGCTGCTTCCCAGTAGGGGGTTGAGACACAGTAGCAGAAGTGGGACTTCGAACCAGGCGCAACGTAGGAGGAGGGCGAGCGAACATGGTGTGAGAAGGGCGACCGAGGGACGCCGTTTCGCCGGCGAGGAAGTTGGAGAAGAGACCGGCGGTCGGGATAGCCATGTCGTTTAGCGAACTCTGAGCGAAAGGATAGAGCGCCCAAGGAAGATGAAGATGATAGTGATGTCCTTTTGCTTATTGAGTCGCTCGGTGTTCACTAGACCCGATTTTTCAGCCCTCGCGGCCCTCCTACATTTACCACAATGCCCTTCATCTTGTTGGCAAATGGCAATAATCAGGATTTTTTTTTGCAGTCGATCTTTTTCCGCCTTAAAATTTTTAAGATTTTTTGGCGGAAAATTGTTTGCGTTCAAAAAAGTGAGTTTTTGGTACCTATGTCTTGACTTGTGAGTAATTTTTTTGACTAAAAAGAATTGACTACTTTTACAAATATTTATATATATTAATTTTTTGAATTGTCTTATGTTCCTTTTTTAGTGGAGAAAAATTAGTGAATGGTTGGAAAAAAAAATTTTAAATTTTAAGGACATTACTAAAGGCTAAAGCGTTGGTGTGCACTGCCAACAAGAAGCATGTTCTCTTACTCCCAAAAATAAAGCACATTATCCGTTTTGAAAAACTTTATTATTATATTCGATACAATGAATAAAAATGAAAACAAAAGGGAGGGAGGGAAAGGAGAGCAACACACACAAAAAAAAAGCTACAACCCAAAAAATTTCAAAAAATTTCAGTAAAATATAAGATACTTTTTTCTTAAAACAATGAGGGCTAAGCCCAAAAGGACCAAGACATTTTTGAAAATAAGACATGGGCTTGAAATTACAATCAGCCCAATCTTAGCTTATTTTGGTACAAAGCCCAATCTTAGCTAACAATTTGAATAGTGTGACGTGTGGTTTTAGAATTGGGCTACATATGGGGCCCAAATCCAAAACATTGGGCCGATTAAAATACGGGTATAGAGTTGTACATTGGGCCAAACTGTGAAATATTCCTGGGATGTTTTTGGTCCTTATTAAATCATTTAATTTACTCTTTTAACAATAGTAATCTCTATAATTTCGCTCTATTAACATTATCAGACCACGTACCAAAACCTAATTGTGCTAACAAAGAAAAACTCATAGAGATCAAATTAAAAATTAAAGAAAGTTATAAGTACCTTAAGAATGGTTTTCCCTATTATAATCCTCGAAAAACCTTATCCTTCCAAAAGATGCTACATTGAAGACCGGGCTTATATTTGATGTCAAGACCTCTGAACACATTAACCGGACTAATCCAAAGACCCAATCATGTTTTGTTAAAACCCAAATTTAATGCCAGTTAACTTGAATTTATCAGCCAAATTTTTGTGATCCTTGTTGTATTGGACTTTACAAATAAGTTTACATGGATGTTTGTTACATTAAAACAATGTAGTACTATAGGATTAAGTTTAGCAAAAGTGACTATTCTCTCGTAACTTGATAAATTAATGTTCGAATCTCAGTTAAAAGAAGTGTTTATATTAGTCCACAGTTTTTTTAAATAATTTTTTGTGCATTTAACGTCCTAAAATTTTTTTCAATAGCATTTAGTATTCAAATTTAAGGTGCTCACTCTTGCAGAGGAAAATACTTTTAACGGAAATCGCAGTATAAATATTTTACAATAATGATTGCTAGTAAAAAACTATTTTAAGATATTAGCTAAATCATAAATTAATTTGCATGACACTGATGTGCATGTTAACCCAGACATATATTAGCTGTTTTCAACAGTCACTAAGTTAGGTGTATGTGACCTTATTTAAATTGAAATAAATTGCACCTGCCTTCTATGTGAAATCCAAATACCTGAGCATCACTTTCGATCTCTCAGTCTCACTCTCTCAGTGCCATTCAAAAGACACATATTTCCTTTTTTCTTATGAGACAAAATATTAATTAGCACTCACAGAAGAGAAGCTGCTAGAAATTAAAGAACAAGGACGTTGCTCCTAATTAATTACTAGCTCCGGTCCTAATTATAAAAGCTAGTTGACTAATTTGAGAAGATTAAGAAAAGGAGTTAAGTTAGTTAATTGTAGTAAATAGATATTGTCTTTTCTAAAACATCCTTGCTAATTAAATGTATTGGTTAGAATTATTATTATTACAAGGACTATCTTAGAAAAAATATATAAATATGAGAGACAAAATGGATTGGGGTCTTATATTTAGGATCAAAATAAAAGTCAAATAAGATTTTATATTAAGGACCGGAAGTAGTACTAAATTAAGAGTATATAATTATTATTATAAAAGCAGCAACCAAGGTAGGCAGACTCAATAAGAAGTTGAAGGGTAATTGATTGATTGAGAGAAAGCAAATTAAATGAAAGTAGATGCAATGTAACATGTTACCTTTAAATGACACAAAAACCCTACACACACGTCTCTCTTTATTTATTTATTTCACGTTCTCATCAACTTTATTTTTTTAAAAACTATTTATGCAACCCCTTCAATCTTTTGCTTTTAATTGACCTCAGGTTATTGAGATATTACCAGCATAGTGTTTTGTCTTTACAGATACTATAAACTATTGCAATTATTTGATCCTTCTAACAAAAAACAACAGTGATTTGATCCGCCTTGTAAATTCAAGTTGTTGGTACCTATCTATCTATCTAATTTCAAAAAAAAAAAAATCATGTAAGCAAAAGAAATATATATACTCCTCCGGTCCTAATTATAAGACCCAATTGACTTATTTGAGGAGATTAAGGAAGTAAGTTAAGTTGGTTATTTATAATAAATAAGTGTTGTCATTCCTAAAATATCCTTGCTAATTAAGTATATTGGCTAAAACTATCATTATTAGAAGGATTATCTTGGAAAAAAATGCATAAATATAAGAGACAAAATGGATTGGGGTCTTATAATTAGGACCAAATAAAAAGTCAAATGGGGTCTTATAATAAGGACCGGAGGAATATATATATATACACGTTTCATAATAGATATATGTACAAATGACTCTCATGATCTGTGCACATAAAAAAAAAAAATAGAGGACACACCCTATTCCTCAATTCAAATCTTCAGTATCACATATTACTTATTCGACCACACTCATTAATTAGGTCAAGTTTTCCAATAATATATAACCACAAGTCCTATTTTTAAAATATTATCATTTAATAATATTTAATTATAAATTTATATGAAACAAAAAAATAACTCATGATCATATGTGATTGAAAAATTTAACATAATGAATATAAAGAATTTAACCTAATTTTTTCATTTTAATTTTATTGTTATTTGGAATAAATACCATTAAATAACAATAAACACATACTCCTCTGGTCCTTATTATAAGACCCCATTTGACTTTTTATTTGGTCCTAATTATAAGACCCCAATCCATTTTTTCTTTTATATTTATGCATTTTTTTCCAAGATAATCCTTCTAATAATGATAGTTTTAGCCAATATACTTAATTAGTAAGGATATTTTAAGAATGACAATACTTATTTATTATAAATAACCAACTTAACTTACTTCCTTAATTTCCTCAAATAAGTCAATTGGGTCTTATAATTAGGACAGGAGAAGTATTATATAATAAAATTCAATTATATATGTGTGACGACGTTATCTACCTAAGTTTGAAGGATGATGTTAGTCACTTTCATGGCGCCCTGCTTGGGAATGAAGGTACCCACATAAATGTACACGTGGCATTTACTGACTGCCCCATCAAACCTCCGAGGTTCAAACCAACGGCTGTCAATGATCTTGCTGGTGAGAAATCTAACGACTGAAAATTCAGTTCCACCTTTTCTGAAAAGTCAACTCCGTACATTTTACTCCTTTCTTTTAATATTGTTTTCCCAACCTAGTTTAACCTTTTCACTCCTCTGTATTGTGCCTTTGTGAACCACCACAACAACTCCCTTTTAGGGACACTGTGACAATTCTAGATTAGTTGCTGATAGAAATTGGAGTTTTAATTAACATATGTAGAGAAGATTTTAGCGTTGTGAACTATTTGATTAAATTAACAACTTTTTGTATCCTTAATCACCCATTATTTATCAGATGAGAAACGGAACTTGCATAAGTCGGGATAGAGTTTGATACGTTATTATTGAATCTCTTTTAAACAAGGATATTGGGTATTTATTTCAAAAAAAATTGATTTGTTCTTATTGAATTTCTTTCATAAGCAATGATATTCAGTTTTTATTTGGAATAAATTATTATTTCAGTAAGGGTTAATATAATTTTTTATCCCTCAAATTTCAAACTATAGGTTTTGGTCTCTTAGGGGATAAAATGGTCTAAATTTTTATTAGATTATAGGAACTCATATTTTAAATAAATAAAAAACTTGAGAGACTAAAATTTATAGTTTGAAATTTGAGGGATCAAAACCAAAATAAAAATAAATTTAAAGGACGAAAGTTTGTATTAACCCTTGCAGCGATCTATGTATATGTTGATGGCGTAGGTAGAGGAAAATGCTACAATATCCCTCCCAATACAAATTAATGTTCAGCAGAATATATGTTCCTATTTACGAAATCTAGGTAATAATTAATATATTTTTCTAGAATGACATTATGTATGTATATATATTGTTGAACTTTATTCATTTATTGGGTTGCGAAGAAGTATGAGTATTTTGGAAGTGATTAAAATGATATTTTATGTAAACAAGCACAACTACTCAAAAGGGCTTCAACGTCGAGGTTTAATCATAACACTATGCCACCAGAAGGAACTAATGAGCATCATGGGAGCATGATCCAATAAGAATAATTAATTAGCAAAAATTATAATAATGGACTTTGCAAAAGGTGACAAAAATCTATGGATTGCGTTGAAAGCAAAGGTGTTTGTTAAGGCCATCACTTTTTTGCTTCCTTGCTACTATACGATTCCCATTTTCATCAACTTCTTTCTCATCTCTTTTCTTTTTTTTCTATCTTAAATATAATATCTCAATCTATTTTCTTTCTCAAACTCATAATAGTTTTTCAAACTATTTTGGTTAACTGTATGTGTTAAAATACTCCTCCGGTCCTAATTATAAGACCCAATTGACTTATTTGAGGAGATTGAGGAAGTAAGTTAAATTGGTTATTTATAATAAATAAGTGTTGTCATTCCTAAAATATCCTTGCTAATTAAGTATATTGGCTAAAACTATCATTATTAGAAGGATTATCTTGGAAAAAAATGCATAAATATAAGAGACAAAATGGATTGGGTCTTATAATTAGGACCAAATAAAAAGTCAAATTGGGTCTTATAATAAGGACCGGAGGAGTAGTTTTTATTAATGAATAGTTTCAATGCATATGATAAAAATAATATTTTAAAAAAACTGACACATATTTTCAACAAAAAAACTAACTTAACCAACATTTTATATTTAACTCTTATTTTAAAGATGGGATGAAATGTTATATATTTGATTGAAAAAAACAAAAGCAAGACATGTGCATCCAAATAATCATGTTCTTCACCAAACACTGCAATTTCATCAAAAGCTCAAGTCCCCACCATCCTGCCTGTAAATCATCACCAAAGTTCTACTTTAATCATTCATCAACGCTAATTTTCATATATGAAAATCCAATATAGAAATGGCAAATTAAGATGAGGATGTTAGGATATTGTTATGTGATTTTTTGTCTGTAAAATTGTTGGATAATATGCGCTGTAACCACATTTTCCAACTCATCAAAGCTAGAAAATGTACACCCACCCCAGAAAAGACCTTCAAATATGTCCCATATTTTTATTTTTGTTTTTTACTTTCAGATTTTGATTAATTGGTTCAATTAAATAATTTCCTTCTTTTTTCTGATAAAAACTTAAGATGTTTTATTATTTAGTTTCTTAATATGCTCGTGAGTAACATTTACATAAATAACTAACACATTCCAGTTAGATACTCACTAGTTAGAAGTTTACTTTGATTTTAAATATAAGATTTTTATTTACTTTATCTTCTAAATTTATATTTTTTTTAAATTTAATCTATATAAATTACACATGTTAAAAGAAATTTCCATATTAAAGTGTCCATTTTAAAAAAAAATCAATAAATATTTTTAACAAACAAATAATTAATTTAACTAATTCTTTTAGTCTCTGTAAACTAATTGGCTAGCACCTATATTTGTAACCAGAGGAAATATGTAATATTTTATATTACACTGAGTGTGTGTATCCTCTAATCAAATCTCATTTAATATATAGGATAATGGGACTTCTTTTTACTTTTTTTTTTTTTGCTAACATTCTTTTGGATATGCTCGTTCGTATAAATTAAGCACATGTATAACTTCTAACAAACTGTCTAATTTACAGCTTAAGACTTAGTTAACCTACATTAGTTTATACCTAATAAATCACATAAATAGTAGAAAGTGAATAAATTTACCCACATTGTGAGAGAGAAACTAACTACACCACTCCCAACAAAAAATCGCACTTCACCAAGCTGCATCAACAAACTTGATCGCATTTCACTCGTTGACATCTCACTAAAAAGACCTCGTCAATAATAATAATAATAATATATAAAAAAAGCATGTAGACAGGCAGCTTTGCGTTCACATTACCAACATGCAACCTTTTCTTACTGATCCAAAGTCTTAGCGTACAATTCACGCATTGCCCCACGCATTCTTTCTTTCATATTTGCTCCTCCAACTATAGGGTTTATTTATATTGCTCATACCAACATTTGTTCATACTAATATCAAATTTAGCCAGGGTTAAAAATATGTAAAAGTTATATAAGTGCTTGTATCTATTCATATATAGCTGTCAAGTTTAGAACTCAGTTTTTTATTTCTGCAATGTATATGATGACAAATGTTAGGGCAAAAAGGAGAACAGCACGCGATGATTGGGTTATAATTCTTGTCTTTGCAAACACAGGAAGTGTTTCCTATTGGCTGCGTCCTTCTTTCATTCTACCAGCTTATGTGTGTGCGTGAAAAATTAATCTTTTTTCTTTTGGTGAGGATGAAAAATTAATCTTTTAGTACCTATTGTTAAATTTTAACTTAGTGTCAATCAGTTCATACACTTTTTTATTCCAAGTCACTTTGGATTTGAAATGAGTGTTAAGATTAAAACTCGCTTAACAAGTACACTTATCAGGATTCAAATTTGTATTCTCCTCTTTATAAGGATGAGATTACTTATCATATCAACTCATCGCTTATTTGGTTCAGTCCATGAACTTTAAACCGCTACAAGTTTGTCCTTATAGTTTAACCATTTAAAATTTTAGTCCACAAATTTCATGAAATATACAATTTTATTTTTTAAAATATAGTTTATGAGACTAAATTGCATCAAGTCAAAATGAACTAAAAATTAAGTTATAATCGAATCAAAACTATAAAAATTGAATTATATAGAATTAGAGTTTAGCGATTGAGTTATAAGCAAGTCAAAATTATAAAAACATAAAATTACTTTTTCCTATATATCACTAATTGCAAAATGCATTTATATAATTTTCATTTCAAAAAATTAACAATTGGGTTATAATCTCACACTTCATCTCACGCGCTGTGTGTTTGTGTGTGGTGTTATTCTGTGTTCACATAAATAAAACTTAATTGTCCATTCGCCGAGATGAAATCATAAGGATTATATTAGAGGAATTTGAATTCACATACATTAGAAGAAAATTTTTAATTTTTCCTTAAATCATACTCTTCTGGTCCTAAATATAAGACTATTTTATAGTGACCGGAGGAGTAACAAGTTATTTATACTTTTTCAGACAATAAAAAAAAAGTTATATGAACCCAAAGCAATATAATTCAACCAAAGCCTTAATGATTATCTATCTGTAGTTGCATTTAACCCTTTTTTATATATTTATTATCAATGTCTCAGCCCAAGTTGTAAAGGCTCACCAGAAAATAACTGTAGAAATTAAAGAAACAATCAGAGTTCTTAGTTGACAAATGAAAAAGAACATAGCACGTGTCGCTTCATGATTATGGTGGTTAATTACAGCCTAACATGCTCTCATAATTTAAAAGTGGGCCTTTTCCCCATTTTTCAATCCAAAAGGAAATTGAAAAAAGAAAAAGGAAAAAAGAAAATATTTCATCTCGTATATATAAAATTATATATATATATATTTGTCCTTCAAATCATTATCAAACATCTCCAACCTAACTATAGAAAATGCCAAGAACAGTGAAATCTCACTATAGATAATAAACCCAACTTAATTAGTACATTTAATCCGTTAGAGAATGAAGAATTTAAATTGAGATTTAATTAAAATGAACCATCTGAGCAAAGAAAGCAATCCAAGCAATTAGAACTAATCAGTTATTAATTAATCAATTACTTGAAAGAGCTTGCAGACAAAGAAGAACGTCAGTGATGGAGGCATGCGTGTGTGTATATACACAATACTACACACACACACACATATATTCATGCTATATCGTAATGGAGATTTAAGAACAAACTAAACAGCAGTGGCCACAAAAATATACAAATAATAAATTAAAGCTTTGTGATTGATGAGGATGGATGAACTAATTTGAAAGGAATAGGGTACCCCACATGTACATATGATTAAATCCTGCGTAAATAAATCAACTTTCCTGTTTTCAGTGCTAGCAAATTTTTAACTTTATTTTGAATGGACTTGATTTAATATAATTTGTGAGGGAAGATTTTGTTTTTTCTTTTTTTTCTTTTTTTTGGGAAGATATATATATATATATATATATATAATAATGATATCAATAATCTATTGCCATCAACTTCCACTTCTTGTAAAGAGCAGTCATGAAGATCCGGATCATAATATATCCTAACTTCAAATACAAGACATCCATGCCGTCTTTCCAATCTTTGACGTAGTACCCTCACCCACCTTTAACCTTGCTAGCTAGCCTCCATTAAGTAATCCTCATTTTTACCTTCAAATTCTTTTTTTTTTTAATTAACATCCATATTAATCATTTTTTAAATTTATTAAGAAATAATGCATTGCATATATATATATATATATATATATATATATATGCCGGTGTCATGCCAAGACAAGCACGTAGAAGCCCCTTTTAAGAAAATTAATGCAAAACCTAAATTATATTACAAGCACTTCTATTTAAATTCCACGTGCGTCGTGGTTCCGTTTAGCTTCTAAAAATCACTTTTATGATATATTTATCTCGAACAACATAAAATCACTTAAAAGAAACTAAATGAAACACTATAGGAGACATTTGGTTAACTTTCCCAAGCAGTGTTAGCCCAGAGAAATTCCTTTGTTGGAATGTGACCAAATGGGACTATAAAATAATTTTGTGAGAACTCCTGTTTATACGTACTCATGAAAGAGGCAAGAGTTTTTTATTACATAAAAAAGGATTTGATCTCTAAACCTTTCCACACGTACACATTCCAACTTATAGATCCTAATTAACCACATCTGAGTTAACCTAAGTTTATTGATTAAGGTAAAAGTTGTTAAAACTAGGTGAGTTAAGCTTAATTTGTTTGTCGAGGTAAAAGGGTCATTATAGGGAATTTTTTTCTTTTCATTGTATATTTTGTGGCAACACATTTTTATCCACGTGGCAATCAGAGGGAGAATGCGCGGCCAAAAGATCAAATCAGACGCTACAGATGCGTTTGGTAGCTGTTGCAATATAAGCCCCCGCAATCCCTCCCTCCCTGCTTCACCCAGGCCCTCGCTCTCTTCTTCACTCGTCTCTTCTTCTGGTTCTTCTAGCTGAGCAGGTTAGCCACAGAGAGAGAGAGTGTGTGTGCGTACGATAGCACGTGATGGATCCCAAATCCATCTTGTTCCTTGGTCTCATCTGCATTGTCGTCGCCGTCGTCGGAGGCCAATCTCCTCCCACTTCTTCTCCTCCTTCATCTCCCGCTCCTCCTACTCCCACCACTCCCACTGGTACTCCCCCTACCAACACTCAGCCTCCGCCCACTCCTCAAGGCTCTCCGCCTCCGGTTCAGCAGTCTTCTCCTCCTCCAGCTCAATCTTCGCCTCCTCCCGCTCAATCATCGCCTCCTCCGGCATCGACTCCTCCGCCTGTTAGCTCACCTCCCGCATCGCCTCCTCCAGCTTCTCCCCCACCGTCATCCCCTCCTCCAGCCTCTCCTCCTCGGGCCACTCCTCCTCCTTCATCTCCACCTCCGGCCACTCCTCCTCCGGCATCTCCACCACCATTTAGTCCCCCACCCGCAACTCCACCACCAGCTGTTCCTCCGCCGGCCCTCACACCCACTCCACTCTCAGCCCCTCCAGCTACAACTCCGGCCACGACTCCCGCTTCCACTCCGGCTTTGAGCAATGCTCCGGCACTATCGCCAGGGCCGGCGACGGCCGCTGCTCCGGGTCCAAGCCTCTCCACCCTGTCTCCGGCTGGCAGTGACTCTGTAAGTCTTCCCTTCTTAGTTCTTATGTACAGTTTTCCTTTGCCGTATGGTTAGTTGGTTACAGAGCGCGAAGTAGCAAAAGAAAAACAGAGTATTTTTTTCCTAGACCAAGTCATACTTATCAATATAAATCTTAAGATATTTGGAATAATAATACTCTGGTTTTCACATTTCATGCTCGATCTTTTAATGCGACCCAAATAAAACAGTAGATCTGTTGATTTACCACATCATTTAATTTAATTATTGAAATGGCTTTAATTCTGTAATCTTTAATTGAATAGTAGAAATATTTAATTCTTTTTTTTCCACCGAAGAAATGTGTAATTCAATTCATATAATTAGTTTTATCTATACAGTTCCTGATTGTCAAAATATATAGGCTAAAGTATATATTTAGTTCTCTAACTTTGTACAAGGTTTCAATTTGATCCTTTAACTTTAAAAAGTATATGTTTGGTCCTTTAACCCCAAAATCATTAGATTTCAATGATGATTTTTGGTAACAATCATGGATTTTTTAAAAATTAAACTTAATAATGTTAGCATTTGAGAATATTTTATCAATATTTAAGATCTTAATGTCTTCATTTTTTGAAAAAATTTTAGAGTTAAAGAACTAAAAGTATACTTTTTAAAATTAAGAAACCAAATTAAAACCTTATACAAAGGTAAAAGATGAAATGTATACTTTAGCCAAATATATATTAATAAAAATTTATATAAATAGATTTAAGTTTAAAATTTTTAGAATCTGTATAATGGATCCAGATCCTCTCTTTTTCTTATTTATTATTTAATCTTATCTCTAACCTAAGATAAAAAAAAATTAGATGGTTGAGATTTAATATTTTTAAAATCTATTATTATAATATTTGGTAAATTATTTTTTTATTTTTTACATTATATTTATGAACTATGCAGGTCAAACCTTAATAATTTAATGAGAGGCCATGGTATGGATCCCTGTAAAATACATAAAAAGTAAAAACCATATTTTGGTTAAGGATTTTTCAATGAAAAGTCAAATAAAGGATAACGTACGTGTTTGGGAAAAAAGGTCAATATGAATAATTTTTTTAAAAAAATAAATTTTAAAACAAAAGAAGAAATTAAAATATTACATTCAGAATACTATTCATGATTTATGAATGTAGCTTCTTACAAATTATATTGCATTATATATACATTGGGAAGATTTTTAACAAAAGTTGAATTGTGAAATGATGAATGCAGAGTGAAGCAGTGAAGTTGTGGCGGTCACAGAAGATGATAGGAAGCTTGGCATTAGGATGGGCTTTGCTCTCAGTGTTATTCTAGTCATTTGCCTTTGTGCTGATCCATGATGGATGCCTCTGTTATTTCCACATTTGCCCCTGCTATAGCACTATTATTATTATTATTATTATTATTATTATTATGATTAATTTGTGGCTATCATTTTAGACTATATTCACCTGTATTTGCTTTATTCTATACCTTTGGCTTGTATTCTTTGGGAGATTTTTGAGGCCACCTTTTGTATTTTGGAGGAGTTTTCCTTTTCCCTTTTTATTATTACCATGTGACTTCCATTCCTTCCTTTTCTTCTTGTTTCTCTCTCTCAAATTTTCCTTAATGCACTTACCAAGCAAGATAGAGTAAGATTCTAAAGGAACACAGTGAGATTAAATAAATTAAACACAAAACATACTTAACTTATTAGTGGTTGGGTTAAATGAAAGAGATACAATAGGCAATAAAAATGGTACCTGTTATTTAACAATGCTTGAATTTGGATGAGTTATCGGTATTATTGAACATTAGATCATCTTTACCACTTTTGATCCTTAATATAAGAGTTATTTAATTAATTTAGTGTTTAACAAAATAAGATGAATTAGCTAGTAAGAACAAACATAATATATAATCTTCCTAACATATCTGTATGTAACGTTCAATCATATATTGGCTTATAAATTAGATAAATTTATTTGGGAAAAAAATAAATATATGAGACAAAATAAATTAGAATTTTATATTTATAATCAAATTCAACTTTCAACTACCTTTTTTATATTAAATATGATAATGAGTATAATGCAAATAATAATCAGTAACGCATGGATAATAACAGTTTCGTATTGGGTGTGGGAAGACAAGTAATGGGTATGTTGTCAAACTGCAAATATCTAATAAAATTTTAAATGGGATATTATGTTGAATTGAGAAATCAAAGTTACTTCGTATATACACATATTTAATCATTAAAGCCAAAACCATCACAGAAAGACATAGTTTTGGCATATATGTATTTACTATCTTTGATCCTAATTATAAGACCCGTTTGTAGACTATAAATGAGGTTTTATAAATAAAACCGGAGACAGTATTTGTTTAAGATCTGACTTTCTTGGATAATTAGGAAACTTATTTCCATTATTCTTACTAAAATGTCCTGAATTTCTGGGAGATGACAAAAAATCTAGTAATCTGAAAGCTTAGATGGGTATGCTGTTGGTGCAATTGTATTTTTATGGTAACTTTAGGTACAACAACCAGCAGGGGACACATTGAAGCATTCAATGAATTACTAAGTCTGAAGTGAAAGTAGTTAGTTTATTGATATCATAACCTCATCCACCGCCACTACTCACAAACTTTTATTCTCCTTTTTGTCATATTAAATGTAAATTGATAAAATTATATGTGTATTTTAAATGTATTTATACACACAATCCTCTGATTTTATTTATGAAGCAGAAAGAGAAGTTTTTCTGATTTTATACACAAAGCCCCATTTTTAAATTAGGACCGGTGGTAGTATTATAGCCGTACAACAATTTTACGGCTAAAAAAAAAGGGATAATAAAAATTTTGATTTCTCAAATCTGCCTCAATTATTGATTTGATACCTGAAATTTAATTTTTATCAATCATATCCCTAAACTTTCATAGTTGAGCATAATCAGTCCTTATAGTTTTTTTTTTTTTGGGTAAAAAATCCTTAAAGTATTTAAGAAATTAAGTGAAGTCCAGTACAGGATAGACCAATTAAAGAACTTTCAAAGTCCAGTAAGGACCGAAGCCTATATTGTTTTGGATGGGCTATCTATTTATTTTGGGTCTCTTAATTTTTGGTAACCTATTTTGGGCCTCACATACCAACACGGCAAGTGTAGCCCATAAGTGTCCCCCACCCCCCCTTTCTACCTCTGTTTTTTTTTTTTTTTGCCCAACTACTTCTTCTTTTTTTTAAGTTACTTTAAGCTCAAATAAATATCCCCTGTACTGTTCACCCTCAAAAAAATCCCCCGTACTCATAACTATGTAATATAATCAAGAGGGTATAAAATTTTTTTGAGAATGTGTATTATTATTTTTATTTTTTATTTTAAATTAAATTACAATATGTAATTTTCATGGTAACAAATCTGTAATATTATACTATCTTCGGTCTTAATTATAAGACCTTATTTATGATATACAAACGAGGTCTTATAATTAGGACATGGGTTGGTATAATATTTAATATTACAGTGGTGAACAGCTTTTTTTGTTTTTGTTTTCATATAATATGTTGATAATTATAGTTTATAGAGTAATTTCGTGACAAGATAAGATCTAAAGTAAACAATAACTAATCACGTGGAACCTCACATGTTAATAACTAGAGAACCCCAAAATGATTAAAACAGCGGCAGCTCATTAGGCAACAAACAAGTGGGCTAACTGTGGTCCAATAACATAGGGCTAATTTCCTAACCTTTAACATTTCTCTTTATGGCATTCCCCCCTTGCAATAATATTCAATGTGGCTTTATCAATATAAAAAATATAAAATTTAAAAGTAATAAATAACATGGTTATATATATATATATGCACAGAAGGCTTGCTAATTGATAATATTACAGATTGCGGGAGAAATATTTATACTTCTTGTGTTTTTTTTTAACCGAGAAATATTTGTAGTACTTATTGTCTGCCCAAAAATATTCAATACGTTGAAAATGGGACTTTCGCAGTAACTTCATCACCATTAATAATCTCGAGTGATTTTTATTGTCATTTAATTGACCCATTAGTTATTTGGTGCTACCGTCTACAGACAAAATCAAGTCAATGCCCTACCGGCTAGGACATTCTTCAGTACCACAGTGCCCTGCCCATTTGGCTGCAGCCTGCAATAAATAATCATAAGCTACTAATCTATTTATTTAAAAATATATACTCCTCCGTTCCTAATTATAAGACCCAATTGACTTATTTGAGGAGATTAAGGAAGTAAGTTAAGTTGGTTATTTATAATAAATAAGTGTTGTCATTCTTAAAATATCTTTGCTAATTAAGTATATTGGTTAAAACTATCATTATTAGAAGGATTATCTTGGGAAAAAATGCATAAATATAAGAGATAAAATGGATTGGGGTCTTATAATTAGGACCAAATAAAAAGTTAAATTGAGTCTTATAATAAGGACCGGAGGAGTATAATAACAACTGATGATTAATTTTGAAATAAATTGGACAAAATGATTAAAGAAATTAAATATGAGCTCCTAGTCCTCACATAGTATGGGGTCCATTGAACCGAAGCAAGAGATTATTGACAGGTTGTATATTTGATAATTGACATCAGTTGACTGTACAAGAAGCGTTGGATTAAAATATTTATTGTATATTGCAACCGTGACCGCTCACCATTCGGTACCTTGGGGCCATCTCTGCGGTTGAGTTGTGCCCTGTGACCATTAAGTGACGAGGCCCTACCAATTTAATGTGCAAAAGCTAACTCAACTTCATTTATCCTGCAAGTTTTTAGGAGTAATGTTATGTTACCTTGAAAATTTTTTGCGGTCTGAAGTTGTTTCCCAAGTGTTAAAATGAAATAATGTTGCCTTTTACAATTAAAAATATTCGTAGGCAATGTCAATCTTTTAACTGTGAGCCTTAATTTTTTTAACGGAGTGAGGTGATATTGTTATACTCCTCCGGTTTTTAATATAGGACCAAATTATTGAGTTGATTTTGATCCTAAATATAAGACTCATTTCTTATATTTATCAATTTTCTCTAAATTACCCACATGGATACTCATTCAAACATAATCAACCAAAAGAAGGAGGGGGTATTAAGAAAGATGATTATGATATTTTAGAAAAAAACGTGTCACATTTCTTATAATTAACTAACTTACCTAACTTCCTTAATCTAATCAAATTAGTTAAATGGGTCTTATATTAAGGATTGAAGGAGTATTTTGCAACTTCCACTTGGCATTAAACCCAGAAAAAGGTTTTTGGGACAACATTATTTCAGAGTGAAAACTTTCAGAACAAATTTACACCCCAACATTTTATTATAATATAATTGGATCTCATACAAATTAACTTTTTAGTTTTTCTTTGTCAAAATCATACAAGTTTATAATTAAAAATACATGTGACTAGATTTTACATTTACGACTGCACCTACTACTCCTTCCGTCTCTTATTATAAGATCTAATTTTTTGAATAGGTTTATCTCTTTTTATAAGATCCTTTTTAAGTTTGTCTTAACATTTAATGTATTATTACCTATTTTATCTCTAGTTTAATGCATTTAATATATTCTCTTTATTTATTTATTTTACTATTACTCTCTCACATTTACCCATTTATAATAGGGGTAAATTTGGAAAAAAATTATATTTGCTATATATTAATTGCTTTTAATTAATTTTAAATGTTTTCTTAAATCCCGAAATTTAGTTAAAAAGATTTTATAATAAAAAATGGAGTAGTACCAAATTAGATTCTATAGGGGTGTTCAAAGAGCCCAGTGGCCCGCTATGCCCGTCCAAGCCCGCAAAAAAATGCCCAACCCGCCCTAAAAAAATGGCCCAAAAGATACATTGGGCATGTTAGGGCTGGGCATATTGTCAGGCAGGGCTGGGCATTAGACATAGTATGCTGCCCAGTCCATTTGGCCCTGCCCGCAAAAATATATATAATTTTATTTATATATATTTTATTTGCCTCATATTTATCTCTTGAATCAAACACTCTGTTGCATTAATATTCAATATTCATTATACTTATTTATTTTCAAATGATTTTGAAAGTAAACGTGTTATCATTTACTGCGATTTGTATAACCATTCTTTTTTTTAATGCAAACATTATGACCATTAGCAATTTGTATAATTGATCCATGATCTTATGAGTATCTAAGAGTTGTGGGGAAAAAAATTATTTGCATTTGGTTAAGAAATTTTAAAAACTAAAAAAGCAATCAAGTTTAATAAAGTATACTAATAACATTTTTGTTTTTCATAGTTTACTCCTCTTAGCAACTATAAAATGTTGTTTCATAATATATCAATTGCTAATAACTAAATTAAGGTCAAGTTACCATTTTAATATAAAGTTACATTTTATTATCTAGAAGAACATAAATAACTAATTAAATAATATAGTATATTGATTTTTTAAGCATGGAAGCCCGTCCTGCCCAGCCCGTATTTGCCTTACCCGAACTTACTAGGGCTTTTCATGGGCAGGGCAGGGTAATGAGCTGCATTTTTCAACCCGTTCATTTTTCGGGCTAGGTATCTGGTAAGGGTCCTGCCCTGCCCAGCCTTGCTCACGTGCAGCCCTAATGGTGAGAGTTAGGTATGAAGATGAGAATGGGAGGGATGAATGAAGAATTCGGTGATTAAATGTGCAAGGAATGAGAAAAGGGTCCTACAAAAATCAAAGGGGATCGTAACAGAATTAATAGGACAGGACAAAGTGGTTTGGTCCTAAGTAACGTCAACAGTAGGACACCGCCCCAACTTCTGAGACAGCGAGGTTCAACCTTCTATGTGCTTTGACAGATGATTTGGACCCTTCCTCAAATCTCTCTATTCACAATTTATTTATTTAATACAAATAAATTTCAAGTCTTTTTTTTTTCGTCCATCTTTTAAAAGTTCATGACTTGGGATTAAAGATAGTTTTAAAAAATGAATAAAGATGCAATTTTATCTCTGATAAAGAAATTCACCAAAAGATCGAGTAAAATTAAAAAAATTAAGAGTAAAATTACATCACTAAACAGACCATGATACAATTGCACATGAAAAATAAAATTAGAATTAAAATTGCACTTTGACCTAAAAAAATTAGATGACTACATCGAAAATAAAACTAGTTTAAATATGAAGAATTGGAATTATGTCAACATTTTAAGCTTCTTATCCTTCGTCAAATTTTCCATTCAGGGGTATTTTGTTGGGTCGGATGTGATTTTCTTGTCGTTATTGGTACGAGAGATAAGAATCGACACTGAACTCTCAACCAAAAGCACACTTGAATTTTTTATTTGGTGTCGCATAACTAACTAGTTCGTTTCGAAGGAATTCTTTCCAATATCCTGTACAGGAGCTAACTAATAAATTTATGGGGATTAATAAAATTAGTTAATTTAATTATTTATTAAAAATATATACTGATTTTTCTAAAATACTTTTTAACCATTTATGTTGAAATTGCTCCTTAAATGGAATCCCTTAAAATATAAATCATCTAACCACTACCTCCGATCTTTAATATAAAACTTTATTTAATTTTTATTTTAATCCTAAATATAAGATCCCAATCTATTTTGTCTTTCATATTTATACATATTTTTCAAGTTAGTCCTTCTAACAATAGTAGTTCTAACCAATACACTTGATTAGCAAGAATATTTTAGGAAATACAACACCTATTTATTACAAATAATTAACTTAACTTCTTTCCTTAATTTTCTCAAATTAATCAACTAGCTCTTATAATTAGAATCGGAGGTAGTAATTCTTATATTTATGATGGAACGGGTATATTTTATGGACAAAATTTAATTTTTACTTTTTTTTTTCTATTTCTTTTGGCATAAATTTATAACGATTGTTTGGAGGCTATGTGCATAATTCCTTCGGATAGAGGTCGCTATAAGTGGCCGCTAAGATGAGTTATTTCTTTTCAAAATGTGGTACTTCTAGAATGAAAGCCCTCCCGCTTAAATGTGTTATGGGCCCACTTCTCAATAATTATCTGAGTGGTTCGTATCATTATGATTGTGTTCCTTTAAATTCGTAGTTTAAAATGGGATATGAGAGTTCATAATTTGGTGGAGAGACTCATAATTCAAACCCTCCATATATGTATATAAGGAAAAATTAATAATTTAGAACTGTAATTTCAATTTAATTACTGTCAATTTAATCTCTCGAATTTCAACCATTTAGTTTGTCGTGTTTTCATGCTTTGTAACATGATTATAACTCTATCCCTGAAGGATTATATAATTTTCTAGAAATGTAGGAAGTAAAAATTAATTAAATAAACAGCGGAAACTTGAAAAATTGAGTTGGATTAAGTTACTACTTTCGGTCCTTAATACAAGAGTTCAATTTAAATTTTATTTTGATCATACATATAAAATCTCAATTCATTCTGTATCTCATATTTATTTATTTATTTATTTTCCAAAATAGTCATTGTAATAATAATAGTTTTAGCCAATATACTTGATTAGCAAGAATATATTATGAAAACGTCTATTTATTACAAATAACTAACATAACTAATTTTTTTAACCTACTCAAATTAATCAATTAGCTCTTATATTAAGAACCAGATGTAATATATTCTAAGTATCATATTGTAACTCAATTAAGATTACAAAGACTATTGTAACTCAATTAAGATTATAAAGACTAAGTTCTCAAGAAAATCTTCTGAAACATGAATTGCAAATGTCGATTCAACTGCAAGTGTAGGAGTTTTGATTGAAAATAAAGCATCTCAGTTTTATATATAACTCTCATTTTGCAGCTGAGATTCCTGTTTGCGACTGCACTTATCGATACTCGCATATATTTCTTTATTTTTTTGCAAATCTAGCTATCATTTATTCAATATTTTGGAAAATAATTTCTCCTTCAGGAAATCCACAGTCTTCATCGGAAGCCATGGACAATACCCCGTCCCCTACTGCATGCAAAACATGTGATCTGCCATCCAGTGTTTTTTTTTAGTTAAAAAAAAAACTTATTTTGTGTTATATAAAAATTGCTTCTCGTGTTGAAGAAATCTGTGGAAATACTTTGAATGTTAATAACAAAAGTATTATTTTTTATATACATTTCACTTAAAGAATTTTAAATCATATTTCATTAAATATACCTAATTACGAATGGTTTTAATATGCTTACAACCTCGTATGCCGTTTTAAAAAGAAACGAAAACCACATTAATACAATGCACAGGCGCACATGGGCGATCCAAAAGAGCCATAAAGAAGGTCAAAGGCCAAAAAGAGGAAACAATACTTTGTTGACTATCTTGAACTTGAAGCATCATATCATAATGAGGTGGAAACTTCTCCTAGAGAAGGGGCTGTAAAAAATAAAAAATAAAAAATAAAAAAATAGAGACATTCCAGCACACAGTGCAATCAAAGAGAGAGACAATCCCTGCTAAAAGCAGGTGAAATGTACTAGTGGTAAAATTAAAAGCTGCCCCAAGAGTGATCAACAAAGCAAAAGCAAGCCTGACCCTGGAATGCAATTTTTTATTTTCCTCACTAGTAAATATATATATATATATATATATATGTAATGAGCATTAACTGTCCGGTGGAAGTAAATCTTGATATTCAGAATCAGCACTGACAAAATAGCACAAGACAAACGCTGAATCCATTATCTCAGCTATCCAAAACACCATGTCAAAATTATAGGCAAAAAAATTAAAAAAACACCACCACATTGAACTTTCCAAACCCAGAAAGGCATAAACAACTACACTGCGTACTAAAACATTGAAACATTAGCAAATTCTTCAGAACTAGAGTTAACCAACCTAGTTGTTAGTGTCAACTCAATCTCATTGTTGTCTATGGCAGCCTCTTTAATATTACCACCACCGACACATAAACTGAACTAGAAGTTGTAAAGTAACAAAAGCTTATAACGTTTCTGCTATACCACCTTCTCTCATTCATGGAAGGCAAACTAAAACTCAACCTCCATTTGCTCTATTCCTACTGGGAAAACCGAGCTCCAACTCCATAGTTGGATTCTGCATTGAGAATAAAGATTCACTTTGGTCATCACCCTCATCACCTGGGTGAAGTGAAACCAGTGAATTTTTATGCTCCATTTACAGATTAAATAGAGGCATAAACAAAGTTTCATGGAAGAACCAACTGGACACCTACCCTAACTTCTACTAACAGTGTTAGTGGTCATATACTTCTATGAACAATTGTTTTGACTTCTTCAATCCTATCCCTTGGTTAGACTTCCATCTTCCACGTCATATTGTTGATGCTGCAATCTTGCGACTTCTCCAGCGCAGCAACTTTGGCTCGGTATACTGTGAGTGAGTTCTTCCCTTTTTCATCCTGGGGAAGCTCACTTGCTTCACTGATAGAAGCAGTTCTCAGATCAGCCGGGGGAATGAAGCAATCTAATGAGAGACCAGGAATGTTGAATGCAACCTCTTCGATTGTCCATGCTTCTTCCATTTTCGTTTTGGTATGGCTCATTGCCATCTCCCCGAACCTGAAAAGAGTAACAACAGAATGGCCAGAGTGGGCAATCATGATGCCTTCCACAGGCCTATAATCATCCAGGAACGAATTGATTGTGGTTTCCCAGTAAACTGCATCACCCCCATTAGATTGAATTCGAGTCAGATGAGAATCCTCTATGTGAACCAGAAGTCCGGTCTTTTGGCTGAAGTAGCCAAATAAGACGTGCCTTATGATCTCTGCAGGGCCTTCACTCCGAGCCTTCAATGTTTGAGGGTCAGTGCAGAGCTTAAGGATGAAGCAATCCTCACCATTTATCTTCTTCTCCCCTATGCATCTTGCATCCGCAAACATACTGGCAGTGGTTCTAGGGTCAAGACCCTAATTGAAGAAACAAACACAATTCAGAAATTATAGATGATAAAGTGGAACACTAACACCACATAGAACACAAAGCCTAACCTGAAGTGCACGACGCAATGGTCTCACAGGTCCCTTGGCTGTGTGAGCACCGAGCCAAGGAGTGTGCCTCCAAACAAGCTTGCCATTACAACCTGCATGAACCTTACTTCCCCCAACTGCGAGCTCTACATACCACATATCGGGATTCATCTGCCAGAGCACAAATCCACCAGACTCGGCGCACCTAGAGGCATTCCGATTCTTCACTACTCTTGTGGCAGTTTCAAACTCAGAAGCTACCATTCTCACCTTACCCATTGCATAGGCATTCCGAATAGAGTTCTGCAGCCTCTGGCCCCCAGAAGCAGCTGTGTACTGCTGCAATATGTACTGGGCAGATGAAGTTTCCTGCAGGTTCACCCACCCAACCACACAATAAAGTATTAGTATATAGAAGCATGTTAGCTGAAAATTGAGAGACTTTCAATGTTTCAGAGAGATGATAATCAATAGGGTAGTCAAGATAACCACAAAGCCAAAAACCTCTTCTGATTTACTCTAAGTAGGCAGGGAAAACTACATCAAGACATGATCACCATGTTTCAAGCTTAAGCGTTTACATTTTGGACAAAACAAAGCAAAATATGTAAATAGAACATCGCATCAATATAGAAGTTTGAGTTTTCTGTTCTTATCCACTTTTACTCAGCAGCCAAACATCCCGTGAACCAACATGAACCGAATTTATAGCGAAGAGTCCGGACATGAACCATTTCAGGATAACCTAGGAGGCAGGTAAAACTAAAATTGGAGGGCTAAAAGTTTACTAAATCTTGAAGTGACTCAAAACGTGAAAAGGTCAGTAAAAACCGCCGAATTCGCCGATGGCTTGTAAGAGAAAATTTTCCCAACGCCGAGGAAGCGTCCAAAATTTTGAAACAACATGCATCCAAAAAAGAGAGAATCTTCTCTAATTTGCACATCATGTGCTTTCACTTCTCATTTTCCAGTTTTTGGTTAGAAAATAATCGAAATCAGAAAAGGAGCTTGAATAACCCTTCTGCACACAAAGACAGAAACATGCTCACTCACACACAGAAGTAGAGAACGGAAGGGGGTCGAAGCTTACAATGGGAGTGTCCTTGATGCTGAGATGAGGCAACGGGTCAGTGGCGCTAACATGAACAGGAGCGAGAGGAGCACCCATCACACCAAGAAGAAGCCTCAGATCAGACCTCTTGAAGGACGTTGAGGCTGGTGAAGGAGCCCGAGACAGCTGACCCTTCATCCAGTGCCCAATACCCGACCCGACTCTCTTTGCATCCCCGTTTTCCCCGCCGTTCTGCTCCGGACCCTCTATCAACGGCGTCAGGGTCTCTCCCAACGGCCTCATACTACCGGATCTTCCGATCGACGAGTCGGGGCTGACTGCTAAGTTGCTTTGGTTGCTATGCTTTTTTCTCCGAAGAAGACCCGAAATGGGTGAACCGGTTCTCCCCGGACTGCTAGCCCGAGAACGCGACGGTGACAAACCACGAACTACCTCTTCCTTCAAAGCCGAGAAGAAACCCTGCTTCTTTTCCATCTTCAGGGGGTCCAAGAAACAAGAATCTGAAGCTCCAAAAGCGAGAGAAAGCGGGATTTCCGCAGCAAATCGAGTAATGGGTATGAACTCTGAAGCCAAGAAGGAAGCTAAACTTGGAGAGCGGAGGGAATGATGAAGAAGCAAGAGAACTTCATTGAAGCAGAGGTTGACGAGGATGGAGCATCCGAGGGGAAAGCAATAGTGGGGAAAATGGGAAGAACGGAAAAACGGTTTGGCGAGTGCGTCTCGTGAAAGAGGCAGGGGGCGGGACTTTAGAGAAGTGTGCCGTGTGCGTTGGTGGGCGTACGATTTCCAGAGAGAGAAAGAAAAAGCAAACGGAGGAGAGAGAACGCTTTTGGCCAAGCAAGCGGGCGGACGAATAATATATAGTTACTTTAATTATAAATAGAAAATCTAATTAATAACAAAAAATGTTAATATCACTTCTTCAAAACTTCATTTTCACTTTAAAATTTGAAATGAGTTGTAACTTCATAAGCTAAAACTATTAGTTTTAAATTTCAGAGCTCAGGTTCAAAAAAAATTTCAGAGCTCAAAATTAAAATGAGACAAAACTATAAGAATCAAAAATAATATTAACAAAATAAAAATTAAATAATAATGAAAAAATAAATCAATTTAAAAACCAATTACTTATATCTAAGATAGGATAAGTTGGCAAAAAAAAAAAAGATCGGATAAAATGATAATACTACCTCCGGTCCTTAATATAATACCCTGTTTGATTTTTATTTTGGTCCTAAATATAAGACCCCAATCTATTTTGTCTCTTATATTTACTCAATTTTTTTCAAGATAGTCCTTTTAATAATTATAGTTCTAGTCACTACACTTGATTAGCAAAAATATTTTAGAAAAAACAATACCTATTCAGGACAAATAACTAACTCAACTTACTTTTTTAATCTCCTCAAATTAGTTAACTGGCTCTTATAATTAGGATCAGAGGTAGTATAACACAATAACATAACTCTCTTTATCTTTTTCATGTTTTCTGGCTATTAAAAAAGGAGCCCCTTTTTGGGCCTATGTTGTATGGGGTAACTTAATTAAACGTTGTTTTCCTCTGGGCAATTCATTGGGTCAGAATAAAATAAAATCTTGTCACCCCCACAACTAAAATTTTTTAAAATCCTTGTATGTGGGGGAAAAAAAAACCTGATAAACTTGTTTTTGAATAATGTCTCAGTAAAAAAGTTGTTTGTTCAACTCCTGTAGTTTTGTGGTTATCCTTACGTGTATAATTGCTCATTTCAAAATTTGTCCTTATCTTTCCGGAAGCCCCGCATTAAATATTTTTATTCCTGATTCAAAATTTTGACTTGATGTGTAAAATACTTATACAAGTGACATCAAATAGGCAAGATTTTTTTGGCAAAAAAAAAGGCACAAATTTAGAAGGGAAAATTGCAAAAAAAGACCTTGGAATTGTAAAACGCAGATAGGGACCCTTGACAACTTCACTTTAGGTTTTGACAAGAATAATATGCCCTGAAGTTGTCAAAACCCAAAGTGAAGTTGTCAAGGGTCCCTATCTGCGTTTTTACAATTCCAAGGTCTTTTTTTGTAATTTCTCCAATTTAGAATCACAATTTTAAGCACTTATAAGTATATTTTATGTAAGTTGAAATAAATTTTTTCTGAAAATAAGTACAGAGTTAATTAAGAGGCTAACACTTGACAGACTAACTAAGAAGCAAAGGAAGATTCAAGATTCTATGGAACAAGTATAATTTGCGTTTAATTAATTAGTTTAACCAAAGTAAAACTTTCAAGATCTTACTAAGCACATCTTTTAAGTCTTTCTTAAGTATGGGAAATAGAAAATAATTTAATAAAATTCCCCATTAGGTTGCCAATTTTCAATCATTTACAATAATTTTCTGTATTATTATTTCGGGGCCAAAAAAGTGTATTTGTTTTTGAAAAATAACACAAAATACCTTAGAATCGATGTAATATTGTCATTTTTGACAATCGACAACAAGATTAACAATCAACTATTAATGCGACGTAGTGACTAGTTTTTACCCAATATTTAGTTAATGTTGATTATTAAAAAGAAAAAAGCAACCTTACATCAGTTTTAAAAGATTATATACTCTACTATTTTATAATTTTTAAAGGGTATTCATAACTCTTTCGAAAAGAAAATTATTTCTTGAGAAAAATGCACTTTAACCTTGTTTCTTTGGTGAAAAACCATTATTGTATCAAGACATTATGTAAATTAATAAGAAGTTGTGCTACATTTAATCCAAATTATAACTAAATACACCAATAAGCTTGTAAAGCTGAAAAGTTTACCATCAACATAAAGTTTAATGCTGGCCAAAAGCAACAGCTTGTCTTCTACATATAATCACAATATCCCTTTATAGATTTTCTCGCATAATATTTTTTTTTAAATAACAGTTGAATAAAAATTGTGGTATCCTCCACAGCAAAATTCACAAACAAATTTCCAATGGATCTCACATGCGAAAGTATAAGTTCTTTGTATATGGAATATATGTTGGGTGCATAAAATGAGCTATATTATTAATTATTTTGTGTATTTTAAAAATCTAAATTGATATTAATAACATGGACATTTTTTTTGCTTTTATTTATCTTAACTTAGATTAAACAAAATTTGAAAAAAAATCAATCATATAAATTAAATTAGAAGGAGAAAAATCTAAAAGTAAGATAGTTGCATGATTTGAGCATGAAAGAGACTAATCGAATAATGTCACAATGGGAGATATATAGACAATGAGGCTATCGATTAGGTCAAAAACCAGAGCCGACTAATCCCTCCAAACCTAAACGTATAGTTCTCACATGGCTACATTGCTAATAATTGTTTGATGAGACCAAAGTTGATATATTGTTTAAGTGTTCTTTGATTTTTTTTTTTTAATAAAAGCCTGTACGGCATCTAATCTTACTTTACAGGTGCACTCAGTGTTCTTATGTTTTTTATGACACATCCAACACTCTGATTTTATCTTTTTAGTACATATAGCACCCTAAACTTTAAGGTGTTTAATGTAATTAAAAAATAATATTAAAGTACTGGATGTATCAGAAAAATAAGATCATGATATTAGGTACATCATAAAAAAATTAAAATGCCGAGTGTATCTGAAAAATAAGATCAATGTATTAAATATATATTTATCCTTTTCAATTGAAAAGAGCAGGCACTACAGTTTAGGAATTAGAATTAAACCCATGATGTTTTATATAGAGTAGCTTTCTATGAGGTTATGATGTGGGGTTTGAATTCCACAATGTGATATCACTGAAAAGAATTATGTCCTAGGATCAAGTTTATAATTTTTGTTTGTGAGGACACCTAATGATAAAATCACTATCCCATTTGCAAATTTGTATTATCTGAGTGGTAAATAGTCTTAAATATATTTTTGATTGAAAAATTATGTTATTGAATTGCAAATACTGGTAATTCGACTGTTAAACTTACACTGTGTGAGTGGTAAATTTGAATGCATTCTTAATACTTAATTTGTGAATTTGTTATAATTCTCCCTTATTACATATGCATATAAGCTATATTGTTTATAACTTACAAACATTAGGACTTAGTTATAAATCTCATGTTTGGTATTAATACTAATGATAATAATTTATTGGTTAGTTTCCTGAAGTTGGATTTACAAAGTTGGGAGAATAAAGAAATGGTCCAACTGTTGAAACCACATGGTGAGCGGGTTGTAGAAACGGAAGGAAGATTTTGAGACAGGAAATAAGACAAACTCACAGATATATAGAGAGCCCATATATTATTTTACTCTGATCAAAGCATTATTTCACGTTCAAACATTCCTTCTTAGGGAGTGTTTGAATAAAAAATGAACCATGATTTTAAAAGTACTTTTACGGTATACAAAATAAATATATAGAGGAGATTGTCTCGTTTTGTGGAGAAGCACTTTTGGGTGCTTCCAAACACTCCCTTACCCCTTTTTTTTTGATAAAATTCCCTCTTTTAACTTCCTCTTAACTCTTCTTATTTCCCTTTAGGCTGTCGTCATAGTTTTTCTTTTTCAAAAAAGAAAAAAATCCCACGGCTGCTGTTGCTCTTAATAACAACAACAACAACAATTATTATTTTTTAATTGTAAAATTCATTTTAACCATAGGTTTTGGACATAACATTTGTCAAGTACATTTAAAGAAGAAGAAAAAGGGGACATTGTCTTTAGGCTAGTGATAATCACTGATATCATCAATCAACTCATAGCCTAATATTTGGTACATTTAATTTGCTAAATAAAACAATGCATCTAGCTTTTCAAAAAGACGGTATATAAATCACAAAATCTCAAATTATTTTTTAACAAAGTTCATATATCACATTGTTGACATGGGCTTTTTAATTCATGTCAATGTGGGGTTTGAACCAATAAATCCATAGCATAGTGGGATTTATCAAATCAACACCCATTCATTGAAGATATGAGTTACATCGTTATAAAAAAAAATGAAATATACATGTGTTTAGATTAGGAATTTGGGATATATATATATATATATATATATGAAATACTATCTCCAGTCCTAAATATAAAAGCTAGTTGATTAATTTGAGTAAAATAAAAAGATTAATTAAATTAGTTATTTGTAATAAATATGTGTTGTCTTTCTAAAATGTCCTTACTAATCAAATGTATTGGTTAGAACTATAATTATTAGAAAGATTATCTCAAAAAAATAAATATATAATAAACAAAATAGATTAAAATTTATACCTAGAATTAAAATAAAAGTTAAATAAAATTTTATATTAAGAATCAGAATAACATATATATATATATATATATATTTATATATGAAATGATGATGAAGTGCGGGCGAAATGGGGATGTGAAAGGGCAATGGTTTGATTCGGGTTTGGGGCCCAACAAAAAAACGCGTTTATAAGCTTTATTCCTTTACGGTGCACACTGCGTCCAGCTAAGTTCCCTCTCCCAAAATAGGTCACTTCACCCTTTTCTCCTCTCTACATGTGAAATCAAACCCAAAACTCCTTTATTTATTTTGTCAGCTCTTAGCCTCTTCTAATTTTGACAA